ATTCGGAAGCCAAACATGCGAACATTCTATTTCGCACGGTGTAAATACACGTCCCGTGGAGAGTGAGTGAAGAGACTGACCGTAAATATCGACGAGCAGAAGAGATGAGCAGCCTTGTTGTCCATCTCCCCATGGGAGGGGCGGAGTCGGTGGGGGACTGTATCTGTGGCGGTAGTAGTGAATGACAAGGACAATGAGGATTTGATCGAGGTAGACCTGTTCGCGATTGCGTTCGACGAGGTAAGACCTGGGGGGAACAGACCGCGAATGAGGTGATGTGAATGGGAGACGGTGCCCTACGGGACTGACGATTTGTTGCCACGGGTCAAAGCCTGGCTCAGTGCAGTGTTGAGCTCGTTAAGATGATCAAAATGACGAACAGGGCCGAACACGTCCTCTTGTTCAGTTGCGATGTCATTGAATCCTTCAAAGTGGTTCGTGAGGATAGTGTTCGTTTCTTTGTGAGAGGCCTGCACTCCTCTGGGCCTGCTCCCGTTTGGCCGCCAGCCGGGAAAAGAAAGAATCACACCCTCACGACTGGTAGTATTGAAAAGACTTGCACGCCCTGTTGGATAGCGAGTCGTCACCCGGAGGGGAGATGGTGTTGAAGGTGATCTAGGAGGGACGAAAGCTGAAGGTAGACTACTGTTTGGTATAATTGATGGCTTCCCTCGCTTGACCTTCGTTGGTGTTCTTGGTGGACGATCGGGAGGCATGACACAGTGGACAGAGTGGACCAGTGTCTGGATGGCATTGGGATTCGCATGAGAGTGTAAGTGCGTCTGTAACAGCGACTTTATGTAAAGGAAGAAAGTGAAGGTAGCGATACAACGATAACGTCGGGTACAGCCGAAAATGCGGATGCAGATGTTCGCGGTGTGAAGAGAGTCTCCCGCGAACACAAACCAACTGATGCGCGAACACAAACCAACTGATTGACAGGGAGTTGCAGTACATTTGCAAGGGGGACGATATGTATTGGCGGTCACATCGTGTATTTATAGGCGGTATGACAACAGGTGTTGGTGTAGTTGGTGCAGAACTTAATGAAGCAGACGTCGGTCCTCACTGAGTCGAGGGCAAAAGGAATAGTAAGAGTGAAGGAAGGAGCAAGCATTGAAATATATAAACAGATTGAGAACGACCTTACAAGCCACCCGAATACCAAACGCAATGAATCTAATGTACAACCTACCCTCGTCGGCTAAGGAGACGTCGCTGGGCCAGCTCGAGCGTCATGAGCATTCGGGCGTCATCGATGTTGCTGTGGAAAAGACTTTCTGCACCCTGTTGAACAGACTTGGTCCGACAGATAGCTTCGATGAACAGGCAGGTGAATACGCCGCAATCACTCCCGTTCTCTTGCTGCGCGACGTTCTGTATGTCGGGTGGTGTTCGTATGAATACCTATCAACCGCCAACGGAGGAACGAGGGGACAAACTCACCGGGTAGTGATACGTCCATGCTGAAGTATCCAAAGCGGTACCGCGAAGGGCATGATGAGTCTCCGCAAGCCAGCACAAGACATACTGTTCACGAGGGGTAAGGTGTAAGGTGAGCAACGAAAGGACGGGGCGTCTGGAGGGAAGACATACCGAGAAAACATCCGTGCGGGTGGCATCTTGATACCGTGCAGAGTCAACGATATATATAGCCTTCTCGGGAATGTCGATTGCAACCGCAAACCAATGTTCCCGGTTGACGTTCCAGGGCATGACAAAGAGGTTAGCTTCGAACAGGTCGATGCCATTCTAAGAAGGGATGGCGAACAAGTATGTTGTAAGTTTGAAAGTTTCAATTGACGGCGTAGTAAAAGTATTTGCTCACCTGCTCGAAGTACGGAAGTTGGGTGGGACTCCCATCTACGGCACCGAGATAACGCGCTCCCTGCTGGTATTTGGATGTGAGGATCTGTCCGATCACGGTCGGGCCGACGATCACCTTCGCGGAGCTACCGGAATGATTGGGAGCGTTGTTCGCGGGGGTGTTCGCGCGGCATTCGACCAAGTACAGATACGACTCAATTGCTGCATCGTGTAACCAGTATCCAGGCCGGAAGCGGGAGTAGAACTTCGCGGTGGGAAAGGCCGTAAGCATCGTGGCCGGCGGGTCAACGTAGTGATTAGATTGGGAGCGGCCGGGTTGCAGAGGCGGGTAGTGTTCCTCCGGATCCCAATCACGAGGCTTTGCGCTCGCCTCCATGATGGACTGAGCCTAGAATTTGTAAAAGAGAAGAGAAAAGTTTAAACGAAAGTTAACAACGCTATGGGTTCTTGAGCTCGCCTACCCTAGTCTTCAATGCGTGACTCAGTGGATCCTCGAAGCGGAAAGAGCTCGGAACGAGCGGTACTTCAGCCACCGAGGCCCGATTGTTGGCTAGTTGGGCAAGTGGGGCAGCTGGATCACGCTGACCCATGGCGGCCTGGAGGACGGGAGGTTGAGATACTTTGAGGAGGGAGGGAAGACCCATGGGAAGTGATGGAATCGGGGTCGGGGCAGGGGCTGCGATGGCCTCTCGGCGTCGTCGTTCCTCCTGTTCGGAGTACATCAGCACGGCGGCAGCTGGCGTAAGTCCCGCATCTGTATCGCGAGGAGGAAGAAGGAGATGAGATTATGAGATTAGAACAGGATGCTGCCTCATCGTTCAGAACACGTACCCATAGTATCAGCCGCTAAGGCAGTAATGACCGTTTGGTAATCTGCAAGACTGCGTGTGAGGTCGATAGGCTTCAGATACGAGGGGAGAGGAAAGTCCTCAAGTTGAGCGTGATCTCTAGACAGCCATGTCGAGCAATGTGACTTACAGGAATGGCAGAGTTGGCCGGTGCGTCTAGAGCGGCAGCGAGAGCCGAAGAGGCAGCAGCGAGCTGTTCGCGGGCAGATTGGGGAGGTTGAGGAAGGTCTCGCGTACCGGACTCCCATCCGACGGGAGGTTTGAGCCCAGCAAAAAGACGGGAGGGGATAGTTGTAGCCGCAACGGGAGGTGGCCGCGCCGCGCTGGATGTGACTACGGGAGTAGCACCCCTCTCCCGCTCTTTGCCCTTATCACGAGCGGTCAGGGCGGGGATCCTCTTGCCGCCAAGGCCACTGTTATCGTCGTCGTCGTCGTCGTCAGGCAATAGGTCAAGGCCAGTCCAGGACCAGTCAGCGGCATCGCGGAGCAAAAGATCCTCCTCAAACTGGGCCTTGTCTTCAGCAGCCTGCTGCCGGTAGTTCTTCATCCTCTCGTCGTTGCGCTTCATCCTCTCGTGGGAGTGCTTTTTGTCCAACTCATTAATAAACATGAGGTGACTCTCGTCGAGGTCCTTCATCCTCTCGTCGTGGTGCTTTTTGTCCAGCTCATTAATAAGCATGTGGTGATTGAGCGTCGTGCGAGGAGAGGGAGGATGAGGTGGAGACGGTGGAGGGGCAGATGGGCCTGCCTGGGGAAGAGGGGGCTCGTTTGGAACGAGGCGGGGCGAGGGTGTACGCGAGAGATTCAAGTCGATTCGCCCACCCGCGAACTTGTCGCGCCAGAATTTCGGACCGTTCGCGGGGACAAGTTGTGGAAATTCCTCTTGCGGACAAAGGCATGGAGAGGCGAAACAGTTACACCCGACGGATGAGAGATCATCAGGTGCATCCTGATCGGTTCCCGTCGCAGATGCGATGACGGCGGCTATGATATCAGTTGGTTTGCCTGCCAACTTGGTGATCTCTTTATCTTCTTCATTGAGGAGATCGCGGAGGGAGGAAGAGGTGGGGGTGGGTGCCAGCGTAATGCGAGCACTTTGGTCGGGGGTGACAGGGTTGGAGGAGTTGGCGGGGACAGACATGGTAGAAGTAAATGGATTTGCTGGATTAGGTTGTAATTACGAGTAGTAGATGCGGAAGGTGAGAAGGAGGAGAAAGGCAGAACATACGAGAGGGAGCGGTGCGCATGGTGTAGTATATCAAAGTTTGCGTCTTATATATGAGATATGGGCCGGGAACAGCGAGACCTCTAGGTGTCGAAGATGGAGTACAGTTGGCTGAAACGATGGCAGAGTTCTTTTGTCGTGGGATGTTTCAAGCATGCATGGTGTAATGTCTATTGTCTGGCAGAGTTGGTCTTTTGTTGTGCGAATGTAGGTTTGTTTTCTTTTTGTTTTTTACCTTTGTTATGTTTGTTTGTTCGCGGGTCATCTCGTGTTCGCGGGGAGACTTTGTTTACTGTTTGATGGGGATTGAATCATTCGCTTCGTGTTCGCGCGAACGATGCGTGGGCGCGTCTCTTAGCTTAGTAAAGCAGAGAAAAATTGTGAACCCGAGCGATTGTCAATCTCTCACGCGCGCCAGGGATAGGTGGATTCGATCGCGGTAGGAGGGTGTCACGTGATCGTCTCAAGCCCCAGGTCGCGCTATAAGCTTCGGCTCGATCAGCGCGGTGGCACAAGCGGTATTTTGTGATTGTCGGGGGGTATGTCAGAGAGTGGTGTCCTTGAAGAATCTTATTTAGGGGCGTCCCGAACATCAAGACGATTCGTTCCAGCGAGCCGCCCTCAGAAATCTGGGTGTTGCTGAACTTGCAACGATGTAATAAGACAGTCAGGCCTTCCGTTACCAGAGCTGGATATACTACTTTGTTCCTTTCCTGTGACTTCCTGATACGTCGACCAGTCGATCGTTCGTCTTGAATTGCCTGCTCGGGGCTCGATTCGGCTTTAGCTATGTAGCTACTCACTGTATGATAACAGCAGCTTGCTTGTGTGCGCGACGGGTGACTTCCAGACGAGTCAAATCTATCGTTGCAATTCTGCGAACGACTATGATAGACACAATTTAAGGGCTTTGCGCTCCCTGTGTTTCAACGAACGGTCGTCTTCGATTCTTGCCTCTATAAGCAACCCCGATCTCTGATTAAACAATCACATCTTTTCGCATCGAACGAGCAAAAGTACAAATTCAAGCCAAAGCGGCACAATCGTCGCAATCAAGTCTGCCGTTTCTTTCTGTGTGATGTGACCTGGGTCACGTTTCATCACAATTCGTCTTGCGCCTGTTCCCGATCGACATTGCCGTTGCGAGGATCTTCCGGCTGAGGGGCGGGTGTATCGGGCAAGATGTTGAACCATCTCGCACTCAAACCGATCCCGCTCAACATGGCCCATTCGGCTTGGGTGACGTCGCATGGATACCGACTCTCCCCGCTGAGTACCATGCAGATATCCGGACGAATGTCTTTCATGCCTTCTTTCGCCAGCGGCTCTGCGAAGGCCTCTTTCCAGAGACCTATTCAAGGAAAACTCCTTATCAGCACACCCGGCGATGAGGAGGGAGACTATGGGGACTTACCGTTTCGGTATGCCTGAGGCGAGTACTTGACCGGTTGGTCGATTCTGAAAGCAAGCTCGTGAATATCCCTGAGTTTTTGGACTAGGACATCGGTGCGATTGACATCCACACTTTCTCGATGTTCCTCGAACACGGCTGCGGCAAAGTCGTACCTTGGAAGGAGATTTGGTACAGAGTGAGTGTGGTCTTGAGCGTTCGTGGTCGACGGAGACGCATCGGAAAGAGATTCATCCTTATTTTCGGTATGATTGCGTTTGTACGTGGGGGGAACCACAGGACCGGATACGCGTGTATGGGCCGAGGTCAGAGTCAAGAGTTCCTGCAGAGTATCTTGATGGGCTCTTTGGTTCTCGGTGAGCAAGGACATGCCGCGGTTGGTATCCGAGGTGATGGAAGCCAAGGTCGATTGGAAGTGATCTTCCCAAGATTTGCCTGATGCTGATGATTGTATAGTCCCGCTCATATCGAGGTAGTTTGCGTAGATTGATGCTTGAGTCGGTGCCGAACGGTATCTCGCGGTATCAGCTTGTGCGGTATCCATCGATCTCGCGAGACTGCTCATAGCTTATAGCTTATATACGCGGCTCCAGGTAGCTTCTCGATGATGGCGACTCGTCATTCTATCGTGAACATTCCGCTTCCTTTTTGTACAGTTCGATATCGACGAACCACTGCAAGTCTCAGCATGTCGCGCGAGCAAGAGCAGAAACCTGACACTGCCTTTTACGTAAGACCTGTTAGTCTCCTTTGTCAGGGTGAATCGACACACGATCTTGATAGTATGACATCCTCCTGAGTCTAGTGCTGGTATGTCCCCGGCAGCGATGGTCTGCACACGCAAGACTAGTTGTACAGACAATAACATTTTCCATGATGGTTTGATCTCGACAACATCCCTCGTCTCCGATCTAGGATCTCTCCAACGAAACAGCCTTCTCCAGTGTCAATGTTGCGATGCACACGTGATATTACGGCAGTATGAGCTAGCCTCCTTTGTTTGACTGTCGAGAACCAAACATCGATTGACGGATCACGGAGAAGCTTGACCGAGTTCAAGGATATAAGCTGAACGTGATCAAGGCTAACCTATGCCAGAACAGTTCTGCGATTCTGAGCATCCTCTATTCCCTCCTCTGCATCGGTATCGATACTATTCAAGATGTCTGCTAGATTGCCTCAACATTTTGCGTATATCTCGCAGATTCAACATCTTTCCTCAAACCGATAGAACAAAGCCATCGTTCTGGGAAAAATCCACGACTTCGCTCAAGCCAAGGATCTGCGATTTGCATATGCGGAAGCGAAGCTGATAGCGCACTTTGATCCGTCGCTCCCTTCCGTTGCCGTTGATCCTGATGAGTTCATCTCTTTTCTCGACCGTAGCATTGCGACTGGAACGCTTTCCAGCAGAACTTCGGAACCCGATGACGACAATCAATCTTTTGTCAGTACGAGACGTCCATCGCTACCTCCGAGTCCGCACTCCTCGGACGCGGGAAGATGATGGCTTGGGAGACTTTAGTGGACGGCGTAGGGAAGTCGAAACATGATTCGTGTATCATATGAGATATACTTCACTGAATCTCAATACAGCTGGACTGTCATGCTATCAGACATTTGCCAGCAGGGAAGTTGCTAACAGCCACATGGCAGTATTATCAATCCTGCAGACAGAGTATCTTGTATCAGGCGGTCAGAGTCTTTATCGACTCGTGCCATAGATCGCTTCACTTGCCTTGCCTAAAGTCACATGGGGAAACGCTGCCTTAAGCAATCGATCGTTTCAGAAGATCCTAGTGATGGAAGCGGATAGCAGGGCACACAATTGCCTTGCAGATCGAGAGACGCAGGACCGGTGCGCCAGCGTTTTTTTTTCCTGAACTGTATCCATGAAATATATAAGAAGTCCCATCCACTCTCAAGGAATCTGGCGTTAGATCAAAGAGGATCGGTGAGGTGCAAATTCCTGTGACCCGGAACAACTATGAGTGCAGGTCACGCTACCACCCTCCGCCTGCTCCTTCGTGGTCCGCAGATATCATCATGCAGGGCGAGTGTGCTGCGCTGTGGTGGTGCCGTGCGAATCTCTAATGCTCACCATCCCTCAAACCATGGTGTCTTATATCGCTCATATCGCCAACTGGCTCGCAGAATTTGGGCTTCAAATCGATACTTCGATGTCAAGATTGGTAGACAAGATTTCACACTGTCTCCATCAGACATCATGATCGAAGATACAGTACCAGGGAGGCTCGTTGTCTAACTCATTTTCCCGACTTTGCGCATCGTCGGCCCCGCCAGTAGAATCGTCCTCTTCCTCCAGCGTAAATAGCCCTTCAGGATCCCCTAGCTTTTTCAACTGCTTCCATCGCTTCGCGTTGACGCTCACGATCTCGCGGGTTGACCCATTCAACACCTTCATGACTTCCGGCACCAGGATGTCCCCGCTGTGTTTGCCTAGTTTCTTTTCAAACATCGTCTGAGCAGCCACTACAGATGAAGAATCAGCTGCAACCCCAACTTGAGGGTCTACTTGTGATGAGATCTTACTCTCAATTTCAGCGATCACTCTTTGGCTATCTGCCAAGTGTTTGCGCTCCAAAAGATCGCGGCGGGATTGCCTGCACCACTTGACCCAATCTGTCAACCGGTCTCGTTCTGTTGAAACTTCGTGCTTCCCCCGGACCTTTTCCAGTATGCCGAGCATACGTATCGTTTCTTTCGCTTGCCTAATCGACAACTCTATCCGGAATTCCAGGTCAAGAGGAACAGGATCCGCAATGGCAGACGGTGTAGATACACCGTAGAAACACTGAAGGTAGAATTCCTCAAACGAGTATCCGAGAGCCATAGGAACATTTCCACTAGTACCAGTAGAGTTCCGGTCCGTGCCGCTCGATGGGTCACATCCTTGCGACTGAGGCAGTCCGATGGCCCCGTCAGAGAAGCTGGAGGTTGAATTCGATGGTTTGGTTCGCTGACTACTCATGAGGGAGAAAGACGGCAGTGGCTCGAGATGAAAAGGATATGCGCACCTATAGGATGGGACAATCACTATCAGGTCGATTTAAAAGTGCCGAGTCGCGCTAGATAATACAGTACCCACTTATTCTATATAGATCTTTTGGCTGAGAATGTTCATTAAGAGCTACGAGAGCGAGCGGAGAATGATCACGCGACAAACCCATCGTTCCTTTGTCTTCTGTTCGTCAGCGGGCGACTCGCATTAGTCGTCATAATAATGACGTGAGCTACCTGCCCATTCAAGTGCACAATATACTGTACTACACTTTGCATTAGCTCTAATTTGATCTCTTAGCAGTGATGATTCCCGGAGACGGCCTTGAGCGCCATTGAATGACCAATAACATCGCCTAGTATTCACTGCTTTTCCATGGTCAGCTCTTGATTTCGAAGGCTTAAAGCTTGTTTCACTGTTTCGAGGGTAGCAGCCTTCTCGTTTAGCAGAACAATGTAATATCACATTCTGCTGGTAGTAGTCGAAAATGTCTATCTATCACATCACAATGTCGATGGAGTGATGGATCACCATGCATCGATTGGCAGACAGGAAGAAGGTTCAGACGAGTTTACCTCCTTGAACCAGGGCCTCATTCTCCTTGACGATCCTTAGACAGTCAACCGTAGCATTTACGATGTCTTCAGGTAGCTCAGATCTATCGCGGAAGGTATCGAGATCTTCTACCATGTAAAGTCCTGGTAACTGCTCGAACTTCCACTCAGGAGCGCCGACTTGATTCAGGAATAGCCATAGGGCGCCGATAATGCAGGTCTCTTTGGAAGTACTAGTCAAGTCTCTGCAATAGGCTGAATCGAGGGCCGCTCCTGTCTCATGTCGAACTCTCTCCACATTGTGTCAGATGCCTTCGTGATTGCTACGACGCTACGGCCTGAGACTGCAGACAGTCAATCATTCGAACTGGGAGAAAGCCGATTATCAGGTGTTCTATCGCCTGTGATATGATACAGCATATAGATTCACTTGTTTTGTATCTGCCGGCGATTCTCAGTGTTCTATACGAATGACTGAGGCCGGAGGCTAGCCGAACGGATGATCATCTATGCGGGCTTTGAGTCTAGTATGTACAGTCTGAGTTCATTGGCTATTTCTCTAGTTTTCAGTGATGCGTTTGAATAGGCTTTTCAAACCAAAATCGATACCAGTACACCGAGAGATCGCGACAGCCTCTTCTTTATCTATGTCGCAAGGCCTTCCATGATATGGTCGACCGCACAGAGCGGATTCATACTGAAGCGTACGGACCGTGGTGTAAAGTCCAGCAGCATCTACGCGGTTCATCTGATGAACCTTTTCGTCCGATAGGAGCAACAATTCAACGTGAAGGCCTGCACCTCTTCCTAACCGCTCTGCAATAAGTTTCAGTAAGAAGGTGTTAAACAAACCGTAGTGAAACGGTAATAAACACTCATTGAAGACCTCAATGTCCATCTGCTTTTTCACTTTATCGGTGGTGTCTGGATCCGCCTGGATCGTGGCTGCAATTCGATCGCAATCCGTATGAAACTCTTGCCATCGCGCCGCCCGATGGCTCTCATAGAGTTTCTGCACAGCTTGTCGGACTTGTGCATCGGTCGAACTGAGAAGTGTGCGGAGTTTCTGGAACTCTTCCTCATCGATCTTCCTTTCCATCTCCCCTGAGAGGATAGCTTTCAGAGTATCGTCATCAGAAACTCCATAATATGCCATACCATCATGGGCTATGCATGGAATCGTGAGCTCTCCGTTTGCGGTCTCAACATTCAGACTCAGCAGGGAGGTCATGAAGACCGGACCGTGAAGTGAATCCGTGCCCCACCAGATTTATGGCATGAGTTCAGAAGGCATACCCGACGCCTGGAGAACCGATTTTACTACATCACTGATATTCTGTTGTTGCCTGGTCAAGTTCGAACTCTGGTTGGAGATACTGATCTGATCCACCGGTCTAGTTTTTGGATGGGTCGATTCGGCGGATACTGTGCGGCTGGAAACGACCTGACTTCTCGCGCATAACAGCACATCGCTCACAAGATATAAGCAATTCGTCTGAGAGGCAGAAGAAGAATGGGGTTCCTAGTTGCGTTCCTTTGTGTCACGCCTGAAGCACGAATTGTATCGGATCTGGAACATTCGGGTTTACTGCGGCCCGAGTAGCTATGTCTAGTACCTTCCAGGCAATGATGGTAGAGTTCACCTCTCAAGCTGTAGAGCGGATGGTAGTGATCAGCAGATCAAGTCCTCTCTGTCACGTCAATCACTTCATAGTGCTGCAATGCCACGCACGACCTACACAACAGGCAACAGGCGCCTCTTGGTGGCGAGCGACAAGGCGCGCGCTAAAGCTCCATAGCTGATCCTTGTCGCGCATGAGATGAAACACGAGCGATGGGGTATAGAGGCTTGATCACGACATTTGTGCCATTGATGATTAGTGACGATATGGTCAGATGCATGATCCCACCAGTGAGGCACCACAGACGATTATCAAATCGAACACCCAATTGAATCTAATATCTTTACAGGTTCCTAGGACGGACGAGGCCGTTGAATCCAGCATCGTTATGTGGGACAACAATCAAGGCGATCGATAGGTCGAGTGACCGTAAGCTCTTGGCTATACAATAATAATCGGATAATATCTTGTCGCCCTGCTTCGACTGATTGATGGCCCTTTGACCTTGTCATTCCACAGAAAAGCGACCAGAAGTATTCTTTTCGTCATCCCTACTTATCGGCCTGCCAACAATACATTTGAATCGGTCATGATCGACATACTGGCTCGACGTTTGAGGTCAGCACCAAAGTTTGATTTACTGCTCTCACTTTTCTTATTGCATTTGAGTAATTAGGATAGCAACGTCTTGAAGACTTGAAGCGCTGGTAACAGTCGGCGCATCTATCCAGACTGCAAATTCGTGTGGGAGGGCGTCTCGCCACGTAGCTCCACAGACTTCCCTCGAGCCTTGCTTCCTGTATCCTTCCGGAGAAGCACAGTACGTCCAGTATATGTGCGTTAAGTACTCATTGAATCTCAACCTCGCCTGCTGAGTTGTACCCACACGCGCTGTACGCGCACAGCATAATTCATCAGGCGTCGGAGAATAGGTTTGATCAGGGTAGATCTTCCAGTATTTGTCCTGGTCACGTTATATGGTATAGAAACACCGGGATTGCACGTTGTCTCGCCCGCCATCGGATCTTTTCTGCTCAAGACATTCCTAGCTGCCCGTACCGGTTTACCGGTCTGTAGTATCCAAATTCTCGCCTTTGCAAGGTTTCATTCGTAGCGTTCAAAAGTAGAAAAGATGCCCGGATGGTTGTCTCGTCTTAGCCATCCATGACGGGAACTAGCGATTGCGGGGGAATTTGCAGTGGGGCATGTCTTCAAGTTCCGATACCATTCACAACAGCAGCCTGTCCCATAATGAGCGAATACACGACTACACGAGTGGCCTGCAATATCAAAACCGACATCATGTCGATCGTTCAAAACGGAACCGCAGACTCGCCTGCTGCGATTGCGTTGTCCAGTAGCAAGTACTGATCATTTGCGCGTAGGGTTCCGCTCTGTCCGACGCACCCTCTGCAGAGATAATAGCAAACAGCCGAGATTCAAGATGCGCAAAGTTGCATACAAACGGCACGAGCGGGATATCTCTTGTACAATATGGGGGAAGGGATATTTCTACGGGAATCATTTTTGTGGCGGAATCCGAAACAGCTTTTTGTTACCAAAGTCTATACCTGCATATAAGTGTAGTACGTGGGACACACCCAAATGTATAGGATATGGTTTCCCGTTCTCGAGCCCGGCCACACAAAGCGCGCTGAAAGTCTGACGTCTTGACCATAACGATCAGGCTAGCGAAATCGTGTTTCATATGACCGTAGGGTCGATTGATGTCGGTGAATTTCTCCTGGATTTTCTCTTCATGAGCTTCGAGTATCGATTGGACGAAACTGCCAGCACCATTCTCGAGTCGGTCTATAGTAAGCGAGAGATTATCAGACATATCGTCTTTTCTGGGATCGAGATCGCTCACTGTAAGCTACATCCTCTATATGCTTCTTAGCTATTTCCTTCCAGCCGCCAGTAACCGTTCGGTCTTCATCGATAGCCGCTTCAATCGCTTTGGACTCTTGGTGAAATACGACCCAGGCCTTTGAATCAACTCTGTCCTCGTTCAGGAAATGGTTTCCGAGATTTTCCAGAGCGGCGTCAACTTGCTTTTCGATGCTAGCACGCAGAGCGTTGAAGGCGAGATACTCTTTGGGTCCAACTTCGACTCCCAGGGACCCCGTCAGGATGGCCCGATTGTAGTCGTGGCGTTTTACCCCATGATACTCTTTGTCTTCGTGAACGACTAGGCAGAATTCTTCGTCTGCGTTGCAGAAGGTGGTAGTACGAGTGGGACCTTCGATCAGAGCGCTCTGTAGAGAGGACCGCGTAGCTTCTGATTGAGCTTGTGAAGAGCTGCAAGCCTTATCCAGAATATGAGTCATGATCTTGCTGGCATCTAGATCATTTTCGGTGGGGTTGTAGCTCCCTAGGGGGCCATAGGTCATCTGATCACTGAGAGAAGGCATACCGTGTTGTCTTGATCAACTTTCGATTCGACGGTAATGTAAAAGTAAGGGAATGTTCCAAATTTGTGTTCTGCTAAATCCTTGTCACTTGAGCGTCCCCACGATCTAATTAAGGTCTGCGATGCTTATATACGTGAAAGTCATCGAGAAGCATCAAACATGGTGAGGTATTCCTTTGACGAGCACATCACGGAAGCTTGCCTATGCCGCAAGAAACGAAATCACCCCAAACTGCTATCGACTGAATGATGCCATGGATACTGGCGCTCGGCAAATAATTCGAGCATGCAGATTTGTACAAAAAGACATCCACCTGTGGTTCCGGGGCTTGAAGATCTACAGACAGTCGATCCAGGCATGCGACGTCGATGCGCGAGCTGCTTTCTAAACGGTGTGTGGCCATATTGGACCTCGTTCTCCATGGCTATTCGAGTAGAAATAGTAAAAGATTGGCTGGTAAGTCTCCATCTATTCGGCGTGTAGCACGACGGCAAGAACCATTCTCGTGATTGTTTCTATTCGCTGGAGTCTAATGCGACTTTAGTTGTTCTTGCACAGCGATCTTGAACGTGCTGAGGAGTACATCCTTTCAAGGAAGAGGGTCGACATGGTATGCACCGAACTCTCACTTCTCAGTTATCGAGACTCATATTCGAACGATGTCACACGTTACAAATTCGTTTAATACAGATGTCATGCTATTTTCCCTATCATCGGTTGTACAAGAATCTATGCATACAATCGTGGTGCCGCTGCGTCTGAAGTGTGGAGGCATTTGTAGATAGTCCGTCGACGGCTCCGAGCGCGTGTCATCTGACTGCTCTCACGAGGTCCTCAGACGATCTCATACAGAGCCTTGTCGTCGAAATCGACACCGGTAAACTGAAGCATTTCTACCTCCTTCGAGGATATCTTTCTGGGGTTTCCCCCATCCAGGCCACAAAGAACCCGCCGAACCTGTATCTCTTGACTTCTTTTCATCAGTTCAGGGATTTCTAGTACCTGGTTCTCCTGCGCACCACTACAGGTCTTCGCCTCCCACAAGGAAAAGATGTGATCGCTCGCACCTTTGCCCAGCCGATCTGTAAGGGCTCAAGTCAATGTAAATATCCCGTTAAACGATGTCGGCATAGCTTTCACTCACTGAAGGCATCATGCCAAATGGGTGTTTTCTGTTCACGTTTGACTGTTCTGTCTTTGTTGAGGGTCGCCTTGATCTTCCGACAAGCTGCATGGAAAATAATCCATTTTTCGGATTGGTCGTGCTTGTCCTGATTTGCCGTGGCATCGATAACTTGCGCGTTTATGTTGTGGTACAGAGCCTCAAGGTCGTCGACTTTCCGCTTGACCTTCTCCGTGTTGACGTCTCTGTAGATCATCTGTCTGTCATTGTGAGAGTGAACTACCGCTGGTTTGGTTTCGAGCGAAAATTCTTTTCCCTCCTCGTCGGCAAAAGTCGAGGCAAGTCCGTAATTCAATGTGCCTGCGGGGCTGACTTCCTGGCTTTCGAAGATCGAACCAGTATTGAGGAATTCCTTAAGGCTCTTGCCACAAACTTTAGAAGCAGTTTTCAAGATCGATTGGATCAGGTCGTTGAGTTCGACACGAGGTGCGGTGGAATCATTGCTGAAAGAAGACATTTGCGTTCAGACAGTTGATTGGGAAAAGCTGGATGATTCCAACGACAGAAGTTGACAAGAAAGGACAGATCGCAACTCTGTCATATGTACTGACAGTAAGGAACTGTGGCGCTTTATACACCTTTTGCGATGGTCTCAATCGATATTCGCTTTAAAATCGCTCCTTTCTCTCATCACGCACTAGGACAGCTAAGTTGCCCTGGGATCACGTCACGGAAGCTAGTAGTGATCGCGTCAGGAAAAGCAACATACCAGGCTGCGATCTGCTGACTGATATCAGAGCTTCTGAGCAGCTCATCACTTCAACTGCCATCTTCTTCATTCCTATGCGCCGTTCATAGTACTAGCCAAGTTTGTCCAAAAGCCACGTGACTATAAAGCTTCCGTGAGGTTTCGTGTATCTCTCCCATTGAATTGAGAGGAGGCAGGGTAATGACTTCGGCATAAACCTTTGCTTGTAAACTTATGAAATGAGGAGAATAACGGAAATACGATCATGGAAGACACACGTCAGATACATGATACAACAACATCTAAAGTCACTTTCACTGATACATTGCAGATTTTCACAAACGTATGACTACATCGCTGTGACGTGGGAAGCTAGATTCTGGCTGTCCTCCTCAGACATACGAGAAGTCCTGTTCATTTTCAAGGATTTTGAAAAGGGCTGTGTTGTTGAGGTCTACATCGGTATGTCGAAGAATCGCTGCCTCTCTCGGTATAAGCTGAACGGGTTTCCCTCCGGCGGGGACACCGCACAAAGCAAATTTGAATTCCGATGACATGCGCACCTGCCTGACCTGCTCGATCTCATCGTGACTGAAGCCCTTTGCACGAAGAGTCGCCCATTGAGTGAAAAGCTGGTGGCCAGCGTCTTTGCCTGCGGCGTCCTCTAGTCGTCCTGTAATAAATTGTCAACACATGAGAAGGTTCCTTTCGCCCGTCTGTCCAGGTTACACTTACTGCGCAACCAATCCTCAATAAGATCCTCCAGGTCGTTTGCCAGTGAAGATTGCGCAGTGTCGGTCGCTCGGATCGCCTTGTAATCACCTCTGTATTTCGCCCATTTCGCGGGTCCCGTACCTTGGGTGAGCTGTTCGATCGCGCTCTGGACTTTTGCGTCTCCCCGAGAACACTCAGCCTTGAACTTGGCAAGTTCTTCGGGTGTAATTTCCCTGCACATGCTGGCCAGATTGTCATACAACTCCGATGGCAAGTCGTGGTAGACCATACCATCGTGGATCAAGATCCGCTGTCCAGCCGAAGTTCCCTCTTGCTCTTCCGAGGAAGACGTTCCGAGGTCCCCCTCTGCCGCAGATTTTCCAAGGCAGAAGGTGGTCTCGTTGCCGAGAACGCTAGACAGTAGATGATCGAACGTCCCAAGTTTTTCGGAACGTTCGGTAGCGTTTTCGGCCATCCACGTAATCATGCTGCGCATATCTTCTTGCGATGAACAAATAGAATCCATTTCTCTGTTAATCGCTTGGCTATGTTGGACTGTCTGGCGGTTGGGAGTTCCTTTCGTTCATTATCGTGTCCTAAGTTTGAGCAAGGCAAAACCCGCTATCAAAGCTTTATATCCTCCCTGAGCCTGGATAGATTGTCAGAGACATCGGTGTCTCTCCTTTGTCAATCGCCATCGCTCGCGCCTCAATCACGTCACGGAAGCTGATGATCGCGTCAGATGAAACCATCTCGAGTTGACGGCGTATGGTGAGGGGAAGCCCTGAACCGCCAAGAACCTCACGGAAACCCTCGTATGCCTGTCGCAAAAGACCTTTCCTTTGATCACAGCGCTTACAGAATGGGGTGAGATGCTGTCACGCTACACAGCCTCCTTGACAACGCGAGTTGGCCCCTTTCAGACCTGAGCTAGCGAGAATGCAAGTCAGATGACGAGCCTTAGTATGGCGTCACGCTTGCTAATAACTTAATGGAATACAGCGAGACACCAGTTACATGTGATCTCTCTCGGTAGACGGTCATGTGCAACATGCTTTACTCTTTGCCAAGGTTCTGATCACGAGACAAGTTCTTACCAGTTCGACAATATCTCCCTCGATCGGAACTCGGCCGAATAGAGGAACCGATCCTTTGATATTGGCGGCCATTTGGCCAATGCGGCATTGCGAGCTAGATCGTGATTGCCTATCTCGGCCAATGGTAACGATGGCCACAGCCTTCCGACCAGCGAGACCACAAGATCTGTCCGTCCGTGATCACATCCATCGTTATGCTTCTTTCTGAGCACTGTCGCTTCCGGCTCAATAGCTGCTTGAGCGAGATCAAGGGTCCATCTTGATCTCGAAGATAGGGATTTTGTTATCGCCTACTTTGTGGAATCCGACGATGACCTTGTCAGCCTCGTACTGGTATCCAACGCAGGGTTCGCTATACCCGCAGCTGGAATATCACAGGGGAACCAGCCAAAGGAAGCTCGCCACCTTGTTTAAGCGTGGTTGTGATATATTGAGCGATCACCAATGATCATTATCGGGACCCTTTCATTTTGGAGCTGACTGCCTGACGATTTTTCCCTGCAGGACCACTTTGCTATTTATTCCATGGGCGTATATACATTATTGATGTCCGTACCGAAGGGTGTCCTCGGACTGAATCTTTACAAACGGCTCAATCAATTTCCAAGGCTTTGAGAAATCAGTTTTGACAGCCATTATCACGACGATTCCTCGACTTTAATCCATACCTCCAATGTATACCAGGTCAAGGATTGGATAGTCTGGATGAAAGGTTTCAGACGTCAAAACACACAGTCGCCAGGTGTCGTAGCTCTTGACGGCCACCTTGGCTGTTTGAACACGATGAGAGGGTCGGGTCAGACTTATCCCGGTCCAAGCAGGAAGTGCAATGGATTAGCTCTTCGAAACTGGACACCCACGAATCCAATGTATACCAGGTCAAGGATTGGATAGTCTGGATGAAAGGTTTCAGACGTCAAAACACACAGTCGCCAGGTGTCGTAGCTCTTGACGGCCACCTTGGCTGTTTGAACACGATGAGAGGGTCGGGTCAGACTTATCCCGGTCCAAGCAGGAAGTGCAATGGATTAGCTCTTCGAAACTGGACACCCACGAACTTGAACCGTCCCATCAGACCCTTGCCGTTGAAACCATCCTTAACATCATCGAGTTAGGGCTGTCGCCCTGGAGTTTTCTGTATTCAGTCTTCGTTTGCGAGGCAAATATATCCCTCCAAAGTCTAGAAGGACTCTTGCGCGGCTGCCCGGGACTGGGAATCCTTAGTTGCAGCTTGGCCGCTCCCATGAGCCGTCCACATTCGGAGAACAATTTGGAGAGCGACGCTATTCACTACTTCAAAACACTGGGCGATCTCCTTCGAGGGCCTGGATCGAATCTGAACGTCTTCGACAACCGTACGAAAGGGGCGGACCCACTTATTTTCGCCCAATATCTGGCTGTTTGTTCATCAGTACATATCGAAGGGGAATTAGGCTGGTGGCACCTCACACCCTAAAGGCTTCTCCAGTGGATGGAGCTAAGCGACCTTTGAAGGGAGATGGGTCTCGAGCAGCTATGATTACGGCAGCTTGCTTCAACCCTTGAGTCATTGCAGGAGGAAGATTGCGAACTAGTCGAGGCGGAGAAGATGGTGGCGGCAACTGCTACAGCCATCCGAGATTGAATGCAGTGTGGTTTGATCCGCTCGCTTTACGTTGTGATGTTTATTTTATCTTAGATACGCCTAGGCAGGAAGTCTCGACTGGTTCCTCTTGATCATCTACCAATCACCATCTGGTTACGTCTAAGCTCTTACAACTAGTGTTACAACATGAACAAACCAATAATATGATTAAAGCGATATACTCGTATGCCCAAGACCAGACTAGGATTCATTGCGCACAGGTTTGGGCACAGCAAAGTTTGTAATCACCAAAGCCGTCAGCGCTCAACGACAGAAAACCGACGACATCCAGGGAGACCAGTTTCAGGACTATATAAGCCTGATCCTGAGATAAACAGTATGGTGTCGCAGTGACGCGTGTATCAGACGAAGACGGGAAATCGGATCGGTAGCACAATGCACGCCGGAATCCTTCTTGTTGAGCGATTTCGGAGTGACCGATCGTCTTAGTTCTTCCCCGTGTGGTTAATCCGTCAATGTGATATCCAGCGATTTTCAACGTGTTATCGAGCGGATCGGCCACGGTATCGTGCATCAACACCAAGACAGACAAGGCAAATCCTCTCATGTATTTTTTGATGTAAAGACACTGAGATCCAAGAGATACGCAGCTGGGGGTCGGAGTGGAAGTACAACCTGGATTTGCGCTTTGTAGCGCTTCATGCGGCTCAGACGGGTATCGTCCGCGAGGACCCGAGCACGTCGTCGAGTATGATGTGACAAAGGTAGTGGACGCCTGTACAACCTACAACTGAAAGAACGACCATCTCAAGTAATAGTAAATGACGTAGAAATTTCAAGATGCGCAAAGGAAATATCGATAATACAACATGTACGGAGTAAGGACGTTCAATGGGTGCGAGAAGGTGGGACAGTGATGTAGTTTTCCAAATGGTGTGATGATCAGGCAGTCTCTCCATCCTTGATCTTGAAGAAGCCGGACTTCTCGATGTCCACCCCTGCCATTCCGAACAACGTGCCCTGAAGTGGGGACAACTGATGGGGTAGGTCTCCGACAGGCCAGCCGCATAGGGCGGCTGTGGACTCGGGGCTGATCGTGCGTCTCCAGAAATCAAGTCGCTTCTCGGGAGTGTCATGCCCCTTGACATGCAACAGCTGCAGCACATCGCGCGAGGCAAAAAGCTTCCCGCAGATCTGCGATGCCGCTTCTGCCTGCAAGCGATCTGGGATCTCGAACGGGAACATAGATCAGCATGTCTGATATGATATCCATCACCCTCCTACTCACCACAAAGTCCGTTCTTGAGCAAGGTTTTCAAATCCGAGGGGAGTTCGGTGTTGCTTTCGAGTTCGTGAACAAGGTCCTTGCATTGCTGGCGGAATTGTGGCCAGTCTGCCTGTCCAGCCAAGCTTTCGAGCATCGTCTTGATTCCTTCAGAATCCTTCCGTTGTTGCTGTCGGAATAGGTCGTACTCGCCACTGGACACCAACCTGCTCATGTCCTTAGAGAGTTTACTGATCTCCAGATCCTTTCGTTTGACGCGGGGGTACGTCCTGCCGTCATGAGCGACCTTGAACAACGTGTCATCATCATCGGTCTCGTTGGACGATTGGAGGTTTTCGTTGGACGTCGTGGATCCCGTGCCAGCCCCTGATTGATGAGACAGGCTTCTTTCGATCAGGGTTCCGACCAAGATGCTCCCCAATAATTCACGGTCAGTCGATTCGTAGGAGCCCTCTGGATAAGCTTGCTCTAGAGATTGTAAAAAAGGGCATCCGTGAGAGGAGATGGTGCTGGGAGAGAAGGGCATGATGGTTAGATGAGCGTATCGGTGGTCATTTGTATCGTAAAGTGGCCGGTTGATGATCGTTAGGGACAGGACGAGTGACTGATGAGAGACGACTGATGAGAGACGGAATTCACGAAGAACGTTGGACTAAGACCGTTTATATACTTCTCAGCGTCGAGACTCGGTTGTATGCGAGACAAGGCGTTCCTTTGTCGGTCACGTCACAGGAGCTCACTTTTTGATCGCCTCATACCGCATCATATGTTCTCACCCGTCTCGACCGATCACGCCCGCGAACCGGAGGGGCTTACTGAGCGCCATTGATCAGATTAACCACCTGATCAGGTAACAATCACGAGGCCAAGCATCCGGGTTGATCATATTGCGTATCATTTCCTTTGTTTCGATGATGTGATCGGCAGTTCTCGATCTCGTGATAATGGTGGCAAAGCGCCGTTCGTTATCCCTAGCGACAGGAACTACCGCTACACCGCCGGCATCAGAGCAATTTTCACGGATGCCCATTACGGTATGTGTACCCATTTGAGTCGCTTGTAGGGAATATATGCGGCTAGTAGCAGGGTTATTTGTGAAGGTCAGAACCCTTAAAGTGCATCCTCATGAGATCACGCTTGGCTGTTAACTTGAGATCCCTTTGACAGTGAGTGAGCACGATCAAAGGAAGTCATGTTGTCTGTCAGCAGACCCGTGAAAGATTCTTTGCTTCGCTGGCACGAACATGCTTCCGTGACGTGCTTTGCCGACGTGATCAAGTGACGTGAATTCAGGAGTCGGATGGTCATGTGTTCATTTGATATCTTTTGCTAGACTAGTACCTCACAGAGCGATGTACATCGAGGATTGTCGATCGAAGACAAATCTTCCGCTGGTCATGAGATCTTCTCCATGATCGATTGATCCCTGAGGATGTCGTGACCAGCGTGATGAGCTTACCTTCTAGATCGATCCGATAGCCCCAAAGATGAGTGTTAAGCGCGGCGCATTTTTGTTGCTGCTTCTTCTTCCATCTAAGAGGCTAGACCTAAGCTTGATCTTTCGAACAGGTACATAGAAGTTTTGCTGCAGCTTGACAGCTATGTGACCTTCAGATCACTGACTTCATCGAGCAATCGCCCTCAGTTGACAGAAGTGGCGCGATCTCTGGATGAAGATTACTGAGGAGCGATCGAGGTCAGTCAATATGCTAAGCTTTTCACGCGCACCAGACAATTCGTTGTATGCCAGGATATTCAGGGTAACAAGTCAGTACTATCTCATGCCTAGCCCGTCGAAATATACCACCGTATACTGGTATACCGGTATTGCCGTTCAGTGTTGCGAGCGGTCTATACACAGTCTGGACTTCACATTCATGGTCAATCCTTGGTAATACAACACATATCGGCTTAACACAAAGGTCAGAAGTATCAGGCTGTAGGAGGGGTTTTCAGTCCACCTGGTCTGCAGTCGGCTTTGCAACTGTGAAACGTTCTGGGATAGGTAATATTACCATCTGGCGAGAGGGGGTGTACTCCGAGAGACTGGGATTACTTGAGACGTTTCAAGTCGATTTCAGCAACTCGATAACCCCATATGCTCGCTTGACGTATGCAGCACACGCTGAATACCGATAGCTACGGAAACATACCGACAGGGTTTCAATTCGGCGGATTTATATGCGATACATGACCGTGCTTGAGTGGTTGATTACCACCCGAAATCGGCGCTCAAGCGCATTGCCGATAACTTTCGTCACACGACCGAAATCAAGTTACAGGTCTTGACGTTGACCTCAGCCACACGAAAGAGCAGCTCGGCTTGGTCCTCAGTAACCTGGTACTTGTCTGTGTGGGATGGATAGCCGCACAACGCTCCGATAAGCGCAGCATTGACGTAACTCAACAACGCCCGCTTGTCGTTCTCTGTCGGCCCATTCGAATCGACTATCGTTCGCTCGAGATGCAAGCGAGCGGTCGTGCACACCTGCACTGTTACAGGGGTCGTAATATTAGCTTTGGGAATGGATCCTGAAGGAACATAAAAACTCACTAAGCAGAGTAACCTCGATTGTCTTCTTCAAGTCGTTCCTGACGTCTCGATTTCCCGCCAGCGTGGCTTGGTAGTGCTGGCATCTTCGTCGTAGTTCGTCCCAACGTCCCGCTCCAGCAGTGGTGACCAGCGCTTGACATGCGTCTTTGACCGACGCGTCACAGGATTGCAACAACACGCGGTAAACCGAGTGCTCTGGCTTTGAGACTACCCTACCGATTCTACTCGAAATGCCGGCTCTGTCATAGTCTTCGATCGGGACCTTATAGTATTTCCAACCATTGTGATGATAATATGTGCCTTCCTGGTCCTCGGACTCTCTGTCGCTTGTAGTGCAAGGTCCTGTCTGAAGGTCCGATCCATCGGATGTCGCATCGCCTCCAAGCCAGACTTTGGTGGCTGCAGATACTGGATGCGAGCTTGAACAGGCATATTGGAGGACCAGCGACATCGGATCGCGAGGCTGCGTCGACTGCGTAGAGGAAGTAACACTCTCCGCGGAGGCGGGCATATTTGATGTTTGGCAAGTGTCAGAAGGAGGAGCGTGTCAGCTTCCGAGACGATAAAGCCTGACGGTTACAGACGATTCAGTCAGAAGATCATGGCCGGGACACGGAGGATTATATGCCTCTCATGATCGAGCGGTCAACAAGCAAATCTATGAAATTCCTTTGTCAATCACGTCACGGAAGGTCACTGTTCGCATTTACCGTCCCGCGGCATTGTATTCGACTCTGACACGAGATCGCCATAATGATGGAGAAAGGACTTTGCCGGGTACGAGATGCGATGGTCTTGCCCGGCTTACCTTCTGTAGCCAAGCACGGCTTGTGGTTGTCCTTCACGTCAAACTCGTCAAATTCGATAATATGATGTCACGCGACTCAGGCCTAATGGTAGCTCACTATCTTTCCAGGGTTACAAGTTATCTAGTGGCTGTAAACAAAATCTCAACAGGGTGCCAGGTGAAGCCCCATGCAGACGCCTTCAGTTTACAGGAGAAGGTCAAGTTGTTGAATCTGACCTGCGTAGCGCACTTGCAATCAGGTCAAACCTCAAGGTGGGCGTTACACCATTGAACTGGTAAACTCCAGAGACCTTGCGGAAAGACTTGAGCGCTGTAGTAACATCATGGTCAGATCACCAAACTAGTGCTGGGTCATGTCTAGCAATTCTTAAGAGCATTTACCGTCTGATTGAGACGGGTAGGCCTGCTTGAGTCCGCTCAGACCAGTACTACCGCTCCATGCTACCATAGTCTATAATTTCTCATGTACATAGGGGTAGTACAGCATACACCGGCTTGCAGAAAGTGTCATAGCGCATGGAAGCTTTCCAAAGGTTTCTTTAGTCCACTTCATCTACAGAATCAGGAACAGGTTCTCATTGTCAACATCCAGTTGACAGTGTTCTCTGAGGAGATCGGCCTGTTCAGGAGATAGCTGACATGGACCACTTGGACCGACCCTTCCGCATGCTGCCGATGCTAATTCCGAGGAGATGATCCCAGAGAATACCACGCAGTAGGCTTCTTCTGCCAAAACGATGATTACTTTCATCAGATAATCCGCAGCCTTCCATTCAAAGTAACCTGCAACCGAGCGTGAATAAACAGTCGATCGCTCGCAATATACAAAGGAGACGGTAGACGTACTGTGGAAAATCGCCTGTAGCACCTTTTTCGTATCCTCGTCGAGCCGATCGGAGCTCTGAATGCGTACTTTGATACCATGGTGTCTTTCACGTAAGTTTCGCCAGCGAGCGAAACCAAGAGGACCTCCCCACAGATGTGCCACTGCCGTTATCGCCGTACCATAATACTCCTCGTCGGCAGCTTCCTTTGCAAGCGTGATATGCTCATCAGAGACTTTGTCTCCTAGCTCTTCCAACAGCCTTGCTTGCACGTACTCGTCGCGCGCGAAAGTCTCCGGGCGCGCGGGCACCATCGACGCCGATCGACCTGTTTTCGTGAAGGTGTAACAAAATTCGATTTTACGTATCTCCATCAATATCCAACGCACAGCAGTCGAATTCCGTAGTCAAACTGGTGTACAATGAAACTACCAGTACGAATTTTCAGAACCGAGTTACCTCACCCCTCGCCTTCCGCACAGCCTCCACCCTCACAGGCATACCATCAATGAGCTTGTTGATGTATCCTTGGTCTATATCCGCCCAGCAGGCCTGTACCTGCTCCCAAAGCATGTCCAGGTTGGTGGCCCGGGTGGGTAGTTGAGATACCTTGGTTTTGAGCAGGTGCCAGACGTTCTCAATGGGGTTGAGATCAGGAGAAGAGGGGGGATGGATGAGTGAGGGAATACCCAATTTCGATCTGGCCTCCTTTGCCAGCTTGCAAGTATGGCAAGGAGCTCCATCTTCTACCACCAGGATGTCCCGCCACCTGGCTGTCCTGAGCTGCCTTGCGGCCCGCTTGAGTGGACCGTTGAGGACCATCCTGACGTACTTTTCCCCATTCATCCCTTTTCCCTTTTCCTGCACTTCACTTGGAGGGATGCTCAGTCGCACCAGGTCCCACTTCTTGCCATGAGCAATGGCCCCCCACACCATGAGGCTCTTCCTAGATGACCTGAAGGTTCGCTGCAGGTGTTGGGGCAGGTACTCCTCTCCAGCTCTCCTGATAGTCCAGTTCATAGTGATGTCCAACCCCATCTCAATTGCGCTCTCATCCGTAAAGATGACTCGCCTCCAGTCCTGATCTTTGTTGTCCTTTACCCACTGTAGCCTCTTGGCGATAGCCTTGGGGGTCAGGAAGGGTTTCCTGCGCTTGTGTCTCTTGTAAAACCCCATGGAGTTGGCGGCCTTTCTGACAGTGTTGTTTGACGTGCCAAAAATCGATGCAAAATGCTCCCAAGGCTTGCCAGGATTGAGCATAATCTCTCTGGCAAGTCGCCTATGGTCCCTAGCATCCAGAACCTTAGGCCTGCCGCTTCTGGGACGAGTTTGTTGGGAGCCATGCTCCCGTTGCCTCCGTATAGCATCATGAATTGCCCCTTTACTGACACCAAGCCTTGCGGCAATGACACGTTGGCTCAGGCCACAATCGAGCATGCCAATGATTCTGCCACGCTTGGAGGGACTAAAGGGTACATTCATGATGCTTCTGTAACAATATAGGATGATCAGGGACAATTAACACGTCCAATTGATTCAGACATATTCACCTCGCTCGCTCGCTTGCTGTCTTGCCAGGTCCAAAAGTGCTATCTCGGTCAATATTGATCGGAAATGGCTGTTCTTAGGCTCGAATTAAGCGTAGGCTGTGGTTTAGCAGGGTTCGTGCAATCAGAACCATCAATATCCTCCTGCAATGTGCCGAAACGACGGTAGGACGCACATTTGGGCCCAAAAAGTCGAAAATTGGGTGGTACAGTTCGATCTCGCTTGCTATTGGGTCTAGCGCACTCGTTATTGCGTCGAATTTACGGGCTAGTTCATACGCTCCAAACGAGCTAAAAACGACAGCTCTAGCTCAAATATTCACTGAGATATAAGGGTACAATTCTAGAGGTACATCACGGATGAGCAGGTGTTCGGTGTCGAGGGTGATGACGTGTCGCGCCCGGAGACTTTCGCGCGCGACTAGTACGTTCCGAATTTTACCTTTTGATAGATCTTGCCTTCGTGCCGGACAGCTCCACCGCAACGAAAGCCGTTGCCGAAAACTAGTTGGCCGAATTCAGTGATTCCGCCTAGATGTGTGTAAGCGACGAACGAGATGCCTTCCTTGATGGCTTTGGACATGGAGAGGACGCCATCTACGGATGCCTCGGTCAAAATGGAACGGATCGTGTCGCTGGGCTCGTGCGAGATAACCGAAGAGGTGCTGTTAGAGCTCATCTTCTCGGCAGTACAGGGATTTGAGGGCCGTGAGTATAAAGTATACAAAGGTATTTACATCATCCATCGACATCTGCGCGAAAGAATGTCTCCCGGATACTGACTGTATCTATGTCTTTTCGCGACCGATCGGATATTCGTGTAAAGGGTCACTCCTTTCGATAGCCTTCGATCACGTCACGGAAGCTCGCCGTTCGCAAGCACCATCATGCTGTATCGCATGCATGACATTGCTATAGTCTCGCGAAAAGGACTCTGCCGAGCTCGATTTTGTCGTGAAACAGGGTATGTTTCCTTTGTTCATCAAACGTCACGCAATCGTCATATGACGCGCGCCTTTGATCACGTCGTCGTCGAGCCGTGGCTGTACATGCCAACAACACAAGAAGAGCCAGAGTGTGACAGTAGAGCGAAGATCATCGCAGCATAGTCTGCTCCAACCCAGGTTGTATAGCGTAATTCAGGTAAATTCTCACGTCACGTGCCAATGTAACCAGGTGGAGGTAGCTTATCGAGCCGATACGTTCACAAAGGTAATGCAGTATTCCGGCCGGGTTAGTTTAATTCTACCTTCTCTGGTCTTCACGAATTGATCCGCTGAAATGTGCAAAAGACGCCATCGATCACGACGACCAGGTGACCGAACCTATTAGAAGACGTGACCGCATGCCACTCGCTTGCCGATACATCGATGATAACGCGTCATCTGTCATTCGTACAAATGGCCCGAGGCACTGCAAGGAAACTGTAGTACTGGTGAATACACAGTCTCGAGCGACTGTTCTTGCGATGGATAAAGCCCCATCGAAGCTGTCTGGTGAGCAATCGCCCACGAACGCTCGCGGCGCAAGTGGCTTGAAAAGAACGATCGAAGTGAAACGACGGAATTAAACTGCTTCCGCAGCTAGCGCCTCGGCTGATCGCCAGTACGTGGAGGCCAGACTCGGCCGGGGCCGGCAATCTCATGTTACCGTTCATCAGATGGTGAGATGGCATGAATAGCTTTCGCCGCCAGCGATGAGCTCGTCGTGCCGGCTTGCCTCGTGCAGTCGCGCATGGTACACGATTATCATTGCTCACGTCAAACTCGAACAAATGATGCGACGCAACACACACTGATATGATGTGGCCCTAATCAGCGGATTCTTGAGGCTATCTCGATGCCAGACCTGGTCGTCAGCTCTATGCGTGTCCCTCTGCGCGATATCGAGGCTGCGCCAAAGCATGTCGACAGACGTTCTTGATCGCGGTGTTACCGGTCAGACGGATCACACGTGCTCGGCTTTGGCGCGGATCTTGCACCGATTGTTGAATGCCAAAAAACGGGTTCTTCCAAGAAATTCGAGTGTACCTTACTAGTAGTCTTGGAAATGGTCCTCTGAGGCTCCTATCTCTAGTTGCTGGAAGCGAGCGGTCGAGGTGAAACGACGGGAACAAATAGGTTTCCCGATCAGCGCGGGGGGAATTGCATATAACAGCACTCGTCCAGAAGGGGTACAGCAAAGTGTCGATCAGATTTACATAAAGTAGATCCACACACGAAGCCGCCGGACTGGCATTTCGGGTTATGGCTCGTCATCAGCGAAGACATCAGTCGGTACACCCCTTGATTGGAGGATGCGTCTCATCTCCGCGCTGATTCGTACGTTCCTTGCGGAGCTTATACCGCAGAGGACCTCAATGATCGGAGAGATCGGATCGTACACACCGATGGAGCGTGTCTTGCAGAAGTCTGTAGGCATGGCGTTGATTTTCATGAGGATGTCCTCCGCCATGACCCAGCGCTCGATCGCTGTCGGCGGAAAACAAGAATTAGTCAACGACGCGTGAGATTCTTGGGTGTCCTCGGAGAGAAGTTTGAGCTACTGACCGTAAAGATTGTGCAACGTCTGCATTCTTTCTAGGTCCTCCCATCCTGCCACCTGTCCTCTCGCAGCAGCGATGCCCTTCTGGTATGTATCCCACCATCCAACGCTGAAATTGCTCTGCCGAAGATTTCGGATCGCTTGATATTGACACTGAAAGACGGCCTGGATCTGCTCTTTGCTCGGGATGATTTTGCCCTGTCCTTCGGGAGCGCGATCAGCTGGGGACCCGCCGGTAGGATCGGTCGATGCGTTCGCCTCGAGCAGCGTCTCGGACCCAGCAACAGATGTGGCGGTTGATGAGCTATTCAGGGGCGTACTGATCTCCAGGTTCGACCCAGTACGCAAGTCCCTGAGGTAGTCATCGAAAACACTCTCCATTGTCTTCATGCTTAAGGTGAGATCGTCAATACTCCTACTCATAATAATGGAAGTCAATTGAGATTGAGGTTTGACGTTTTGGTCTTGTGCGGTGTCCATGATTTCGCTTGCCACGTTGGTCGGCTATCCGGCAGGTTTATAGGCTCATGAAGCAATGTGAAAGGGTACAGGGTGTAGCTCTGCATGTCGCTGACACGGTCGAGGCCCCCAAGTCTTCCTTTGTTTTCGGTATGTGACAGGCGATAACCCTACGACTTGACAGCACATAGTCTCGATGTCGTGGTCATGCTCAAAGGCACACAGCCACGATCACCACGAGCTTCAAAGGACGATCGGCATTGACAAAGGGGACGAAGGAGAGGCGAAGGTCGCCAGATAAGACTCGCCGAGAATTCGTTCTTATATAACGTGGTAAAGTACCTCAAGAGCATGCTTCAGCCCTATCTTGACCCAGGAGTCGATGCCTAAGAATCGACACTATCTTCATCAATATGTACAACAATCAACCTTTGGCGGATCATACACCTGGGAAATGCTCATATGACACCCCTACCTGGAGGCGGCTTGATCAAGAGCGCCTGCAGCTGCTTCAGGCGATTCATGACGAGCGTGATCCCAGCCGGGTTAAAGAGATGTTGGCCAGCTTTGTTGATGTGGAGAGCAAGGAAGATTTCTCCATCCAGCTGCCCTTCCGCTGCCATTATGTGGGTTGCATGGGTTGATGGATGCTAGACATCAAGCTGATGGTTGGCCTTGTAGGGTTACAACATCCACCTTGGAGCTGGTGTTTTCATCAATCACAATGCCACAATCCTTGATGAGGCTGAGGGTGAGTTGAACTTGTATCGATCTTTGACAATTTGCTGATATCACCTCTAAGTTACCATTGGTCAAGGCACACTCCTGGCAACTGATATCAAGATATACACTTCAACCAATCCTGATGAGCGTTATCAGGACAACCAATCTAAGATGGAATACCGTTATCCCGTCTCAATTGGCGACAACTGCTGGATTGGAGGTGGGGCGACCATCTTGCCTGGGGTAACAATTGGGGATGATGTTACAGTTGCTGCTGGAGCGGTTGTCAACAAAGATGTTGAGAGTCGTTGTCTGGTTGCTGGTGTCCCTGCTAAGGTCATCAAGCGCTTTCCCAAAGCAACTTGAAGCGGGTTCATCATTGTAGGAACGATGGTGGTCATCGCCTCAATCTGTCATGTGTGAAATATGGCATGCTACAACTATCTAAAGGTCCTATCGTGCTCATGTGTTGCCAATACCGTTGACCGCTAACTAGGTAGCTTGTCAAAAGTATACAGTACCATGCTCCTCCAGCTTCACAGCTTTAGCGAACGCGAACAAATCCCTCAATCCTTCGAAGTGATTTCATTAAGCTCGGCAGCTATCGAACACCATGTGTACCGCAAGAATCATCTCCCCTGGTGACATGCGGAACTCATATTCATAAGGGCGTCACTCGTTCCCCGTTTGTGCCGAAGACAAAAGAGGTATAATCTATATCATTCCGCTTTCATGTCTACAATGCGCTACAGAGTGGCCTACAGTTCTGCCTTCCGTTCGCGCCGAACCTCCGTCGTTTGGATACAGGTTGACATGTCTGCTACTTGATCCATCCCCGGCTCCTAAATAACCCACCCCACGATTTATACACAAACATCCCGAACCCCGCTAGGTCTTTCAATACCCGTCCTTCTTCCCCATTCCCGCCCGCTCCGAGGTTTGAAGTGTCACCAGGTCTTCCGAACAAGGGGCCGCGAAGCGTAAGCCGTCTGACGGCGAGTTCGTAGTTGTTCTCCAAGAGCTCGTCTAGCCTTTCCGTTGCACGGGCTAGTGGTTGGTCGGCAGTTCCGAGAAGAGCACGCGGTTGCATCAGGATCGATTCTGTGGGTTCGCGACGCCCAACGAGAAAAGGTATGGTATCGAGTGGATCGAATTGAATTTGGGATCAGGTTGAAGGAGATGTTTGGGAGGGAAGTTGCAACCACCATTAAACCGATGTAACAAATATGAAGTCAGTTCGAGTCAGTAAACCGTCTCAACTTCTAGAAAGTTATCGCTCGCGATACCATAACGTGCACGAAAGATGGAGGTTGAAGAGAAAGACTTACCGGCTCTTAAATAAATCCCCGCTAGAACCCCTCGTCGGACGTACCACTCCCACCCTTGCCCTTCACCCATCCTCAAAACATCATCTTTACCGCCTTCTCTTCCTGTTGCTTGCCATTGCCCAGTAGCCTGCAGTGTAGCTTGACTTCTCCTTCGCTCGACCTCTTCCGTCGAAGACGTCGATCTGGTGTTGTCGTTGTCGTTGAGAGCCCGGTAAGAAGCAGGTTGGGCAAGATGAAGAGCCTCGTCGGCGATGTTCCATGCGTACATGAAGGATCTTAATGGGTTAGGAGGGAGTGGGAGGGGGAGGTGGTGTGCCGAAGGCAACGGCGAGTTCCCGGTCGAGGTTGATGTCGACGTTGAGTTTGAGTTTGAGTTTGGTGGTGAGGGGGATGTGGATGGAGATGAGGCTGAGGAAGAGAGTTTTGAGGAGACGGCCGATAATCCCGCTGCTGCTGAGGTCGCTATTGAAGATGCTTTAACGGCTGCGTTTAATGCTGACTCGGCTACCATCGCCCTCATCGTCGACGTTGGTGCTCCCATCGATAATGAGGACAACGATGAGGAAGCCACCGTTCCTGCTGTAGATAACGGTGCCGCCGGAGGACGGTACAGTTCGAATTCGCTGAGCTCTCTTGTTAAGCGTGATTGGAGGTGGTCGATCATCCTTGCGATCGGCGTGGGGAAGTTGAATGAGGGTGGGGAGATTGACGAAGGGGATTGCATAATTGCGTGAGCCTGTTCCCGGCGGGTCGTGCAGATAAGGTAGTGCGAACGAGCGGTTTGACGACAATCAGCAGCGCAACCAGGATGAGATAATGCAGTAGACTTAAGATTCGATGTACCTGTACGACATGTTCTCCAGCGGTCTCTTCGGAATATCTCAACCGCCTGCCCATAACCTCTCTTAGTCCCAATCCCGATGCCGATCCAGACGCCTCTCCTTGACCCTCCACCGACATATTTTTGATTCCCTCATCCTCCCATAGTCTCACCAGTTCCTTTTCCGCTGTGTTTTCTTCTCCGAAGATGTTTTCAAGGACATAGTCGGGATCTTGTCTTCGTGACAACGACGACAACGATGATGCAGGTGATGACGAAGATGGTAGATCGGCCAGGCCCGCTCGGATCGCTTGACGGGTGAACGACTGGGCTCGGAGGTGAGGCAGGGAGGCTCTGAGGATGGATTCTCTTATAGCGGTCATCTTGTCCTGCTAAGCGAGCAAGTGTCCGTATGTCCAGGATCTATGGTGTATAAGATTGTGATCGATATGTATATATGTATGGGAATGTTTGACGAGGTCGAACGATCATATGGTCGAGATCAAGGACCGAGTCTCAGCGTTCAGAAGAACGAATATGCATCTTCACGGACGGTTAGCTTGAAAGCCCAACGTGCTTGTAAAAAGGTAACAAAGAAAGGAAGTCCACAAACAATGTAATCTTGAGAGGTATATATGGCTTTGAGTGAGGGATATGTTCGCATACCGTCCCACTTCTGGGTACAGTATCCTTAATCACATCCTTCTCAAAGAATTACTATCGCCTTGAAATCTGCATTTCTGCAGACATGCTGGACTTGGCAGACAGCTCCAGCTCATCAGACATACATATGTTCGATCCAAACTGGTGGGAAGGTGAAGATCTAAGTGGCTGGCCAGAGAAAAGTGGCAACTATTACCATTTTGTACCCTTTGGAGGCAGTACGGTCTGCACCAGCGCAGGAATCCTTGGGGGAATAAGCTATTCCCAAACTCTCTTTGCATCCACTGGAAGAGTTGAAGAAGAAGACATTGACAGTGTTAACACTGAAGACATCAATGATGTTGAATGCCAATTAAATGATGGTGAAGAAGATCCATCCTTTGTTCCACCCCAAAGTGAACACGGAAATGACAAACCAGAGGCTAACTGGGAACAGATGGACAAGGCTTCACAAGCTAGGCTCGCAGCTTTCTACGAATCACACAATATTGAAAGAGGAGACAAACACGATGCAAAGTTATGGAAAGATATCTCAAACATACTCCTCAATGGGAAGCATGGCGGGTCTATCAAGTGCAAAAGCACAGAGCTCAACTTCTCTTGTTGCAGGGTGAGAGAGACAGAGACAGGTGATATGTGTCGAGCCCTTGTGGTTGCCAAAAGTAGCAGTAAGATGTGGAAGGAGGGGCAGAATGTGCAATGTAGGCGTTGTCAGTCACAGATTGGATACACTGTATATAAAGCGAGACAGAAGGAAAAGCATGGAATTGTAAAGAAGAAGTACAAGAGGAGACCCTATTAGGATGTTGTATCTTGTATTTTGTTGTTTGTGGATATATCGATTGCACCGCTACACCTGGAAATGCCAAAATATCGAAGAACAAGGAATATGCTTCCGGTATCCGAACTGTATCGGAACCAAATCCGGTTACTCATCAGCCGGACGATCAAGTTCATCAGGTCGCCTCGGCAACTAGTAACATGCTCGATCGATACATCGAATATCCTTCCAACACTAACACCGTCAACAGCTTGATATAGCGACAAAGACGTACAGTACAAAGAAATGACCGATATGAGCGTACTCGGAGCTGCTCAGATGCCCAGTCCGACCACGGTAAGTCTTCCGCGGCACTGGATACGGAATGAGCGGTGCTGATCTGTGTCTTTCGGATATGTATAGGCTGAGACGATGGCCAAGGTCAGTTCCTCTGTCTTTCCCACACTTGTCACAACCTCTTTGCTGATTTCGATTTGTGGTGTCTGACTGGGTAGGAACGAGCGAACCCGCCGTTCGACGTCCGGAAGGTGAGTCGTCCTGTTTCGACTATTTAGTCCCTTTGATACGAAGTCGTCGATTGCCACGGTTTGTTATGGTGTGTGCTGATCGCCTCATACTGTACTCTCTTGCTTCATTATCTGGTGATCTGGTGATCATATCCTGGGATCAACTCTGGTCTTACGTGAGTGGGAACAGCTCTCGATCTCCATGCACGGCTCGGAGAAGGCACTGGTCTTGAAGGAGAAGTTCATGACCGAGGTGAGTTCGCATCCTTCCTATCCCACGATCAACCACCAGCGACTAGGTTCATCTCGCTCGGACTGAATATAACGGTACTGATTCTCATTTGGCATCTATCCTGCATCTGTCATTAATGACGATCTCAATCATTACCGCCATCACCTGATAGATATCCCGCGACCCATCCTTCCGCTCACACGACATCCACGACCTATCCAAAGAAGCTATTAGGGAACGGACCATGGAGAAGTTTGGGAGTATGGTACATTATGTGATCAATGAGCCTTTGAGGGAGTTTAATTTGAGGATGCAGGTGAGTCGAGTTGGAGTTGAGGTGGTATTGGGGTTGGGGTTGCGGAGTGGATTGAGAATAATGGTTTGGACATGGGGGTGGCTGATGTTGATGTTGTTTCCTCTTCGATCTTTCTTTGCTGCTTTCGTACCTCCTCGTCACTTTTTCCGTCACTTCCCTCTCGCTATCACACTACCACCCCTCCATAATCCCGATATCTCTACTTTTCATCGTTGATATCGCGGCCGTTATGGACACAGCTGGTATCAACAGCAGATCCGGCATTCTGGACCCGCTTCGGAGTGCATTTCGGGTTGTTCTTGGGTGCTTTGAGAGGGGGGTGTACGCCCGGTCAGATGAGTGAGTTTCAAGTTCTTTCTTTCTTATCGGCTTTGAGTCGCTCTTGGGGATGTCCCGCTGAGTCGATTCGGAGACCGCATCGACCTGCCATGCGGTCTCCGGGGCGAAGGGGTTGTTTGGTTCAGACGTTGATGCTGATCGATGGTCCTGGTCGTGTGTGCTCCCTTCAGATTATTGGATCGAGAAAGGAGCGATCGGGTTGAACGGCGTGATAGGCTGTTTCGGGATGACTGGTACGTCTGTTTACCCGCTATCTTCATCTCCTTCCTGTGTCCCCGTAGGACTTTGGCACAAGCGGTCTCTTCTCACATCTTCTTACTGATATCGTAATATGACTTGATAGAACTGGCACACGGGTCGAACGTCGCCGGACTGGAGACGACCGCCACGCTGGACGAACGGACGGACGAGTTTGTCATCCATACGCCTCATCTGGGGGCTACCAAGTGGTGGATCGGAGGTGAGCTTCGTGTTCTGCTCATGACCTTGCTCAGCACGTCCATTCGCTCGGCTGCAAGTCAATTGCATATGTCGCCGGTATCTTGAGTGGAATAATATTCGCCCACGAGTGCTGAGACGGATATACGGTCGATTTCGACAGGCGCCGCATCAACGGCAACGCACTGCGCGGTCTTCGCACAGCTCATCGTCAAGGGCAAGAAACATGGGGTCAAGACGTTTGTCGTGCAGTTGCGGGACACCAAGTGAGTCTCGGCCGACCATAGTGGAACGGACGTGCGTAGGTATTATGACAACGCTGAAACTACCCCTATTTGCGGCATAGGACGTTTCAACTGAAGCCCGGCGTCATGATCGGGGATATCGGCAAGAAGATGGGTAGGGATGGGATCGATAACGGGTACATACAGGTGAGTTGACTCGAGGTGGAACGGGTATCGTCCTCTAACACAAACATAGGCTCAATTCTGGGTATTATCGATGTTTCCGACCTGACAGTTCACGCACGTGAGGATTCCTCGGGCGCACATGTTGATGAAGCACACGCAGGTGTCGAGGGATGGGATCGTCACCGACCCAGTAAGTCTGGTGGCCAAACTTTGGAGTTAGCTGCTTGGCATGCGTACTGACGCAGAACCGACATTACAGCCTCTGGCTCAGTTGACTTATGGAGCGCTTCTTAGCGGCCGGGTAGGAATGGTAGCCGACTCGAGCAATACGGCCAAGCGCGTCAGTGCCCTTTGGCTCAAATGACCTTGATATCCTCCTTGCTCAAGCTGACTTTTACTTCTCAACCCTTGACAGGCCCTGACGATCGCTGTGAGGTACGCAGCGGTCCGTCGACAATTCGCCTCGGGCAAGAACAAGCTCGAAACGCAGCTACTGGATTATCCTATCCACCAGAGGAGGTTGATGGTACGTCGCTGTAGAGATGGCGGTAGATTCGGGGCGCTTGGCTCATGAGGTCACTATGCATAAACAGCCTCTGATGGCCCAGGCGATCGCTATCGGGTTCACTAGCTTGATCTTGACCAACATGTACGAGGTAAGTAGACAAGCAAGCGCCACAGGTTCTCTGTCCACCAATGTTCACGCTGATCGTCAATTGTACTGAACTGCCAGGAACTCACCCAGGCACTGGAAACTCTCGAACCATCTGACGTATGTCGTTTTCGTTTTTGCGAATCGTGCCGAGTACTGACATTGCACGCGTTATAGCCCAACATGCACGAGACACTCGAGAAGCTCAAGGAGACGCATGCCACGTCGGCAGGATTGAAAGCGTTCTGCACCTGGGCGTGTCTGGAGACGATCGAAAAGTGTAGGCAGAGTTGTGGAGGTCATGGGTACTCAGCGTGAGTGCCTACAGCCTTCTGAAGCGTTACAAGCGGGCCTTGACCTCATTCCCCTGCAGCTACTCGACGCTTCCCGGGATGTACCAAGACTTTGCAGTACAATGTACATGGGAGGGAGACAACACTATCCTGGCTTTACAAGCGGGCCGATCGCTGGTATCGTCGTGGGAGTCGGCGTCCCGAGGCAAACCTCTGCCACCAGGTGTCAGCTACTTGGCCTCGACCGAGACGCTCACCAACAAGAGCAACTCGAAGCTCGACCTTGGCGATATCGACAAGGGCTGGGCGTGCGTCGCCGCGAACGCTGTGAAGAAGGCCGCCGTGGACTACGCTAGGGAGCTAGGTAAAGGATTGAGCAAAGATGAAGCGATGGAGAGGTGCAGTCAGAGCCGATTCATCGCTGCCAAGCTGCATACTATTGGATACGTGAGTGTCGCTTGCCGAAAGAGCTGACAGTCACATGCTGACCTGAAGCCGCATGAATAGATCTTCCGCATGGTCAAGCAGGCTGCCGAAACCCACGCTACTGGACCGGAGAAAGACGTGCTTGTTCTGAATGCGAAGCTCTACGGACTGTGGCAAGTCGAGGAGCAGGGCGCCTGGTTTCTGAAATGTTTGTCCTGGTCTCCTGTCCTGTCTCCTGCAGCTTTTGCATATGAGACTGACGCTTTCGGCTATTTGTGACAGACGGGTACTTTAACGCCCAGCAAATGGATACTGTGCAAGAGACAGTCGACAAGCTATGCCTGGATTTGAGAAAGATCGCTAGTCAGTACCCCTGATCGATTTCAGCTTTAGCTAAGCAATTGCTTACAAAATCGGCTGCTGGCGTTGTAGTCCCTGTCGTCGACTCGTTTGCGTTCAGTGACCACCTCGTCAATAGTCCGCTCGGCCGTTATGATGGCAGGATCTACGAGGCCTACTTCGATCAGGTGAGCTAATCGTCCTGGCAACAAGTTCCGACCACAACGCTCATCTCATGCCTCGCGAATCTAGGTGCGAGCCTCTAACCCGCCCGTCAAGGAACATCCGTACTTTGCGCGACTCATCGCGCCCTTGCTCAACCGGGTCAATGAAGCGGATGACGAGAAAGACCCTGAAGAGGCTATGGGTCTCGAGGAGGAGTTGAAAGAGCTTCGAGAAGCGTCTCAGAGCCAGAAAGACGCGCCGCAGAAAGTTCAGGTCGTCGGAAAGGGCATGGGTGGCAAAGGCGTTCCTGGGGGTGGAGGAAGCGGGGCCGGAGGCGATGTTGGGCAGGTGGTTGTGGATGGTAAATAAGAGATTTCACCTCTATAAGCGTTCTCAGTTGTATATCAATAAGATAGACTTCGCATGAGTCTACCCATGAAGACGTATATACCATGATGCGTGACTGCATTGATGACACCATCGTTATGACCGCAAGTACCCGCGTCATGCCGAACGTCCAGCGAGTCATCACGACGCTCATAGCTACTATGGCGCTTGTGATTGCGATAAAGCAGGTCAGCTGGCCCTGTTGAGTCGATCGATAGGCGCTCCTTTGAAGGTCCAGGATCGTCTTCGGCACTCGGTCGAGAGATCGAGAACAGCTTCTTCGAGCAAGTATCGTGTGATTAACGGCTATGGGCTGGTTCATCTCCAGGTTCTTACATCCCTGCGCCGTTTCAAGTGATAAAGGAAGGCATGTCCGTTGTGATCCTGTAGCTTCTCCAAGAGTAGGGTATATAGAGCAGTCTCTTCTGACTTCGATGCGGGTTTGCACAACATGTCCCATCGTACATGCAATCACTCATTCCGCTACAATCCACCCCTTCGAGCTCGAAAACATCATGGAATCTGTCGCTTCTACCACTGGATCTCTCGGCTCTCGTCGAAGTTACGGCGGGAAGAAAAAGCGCATCCTGCTGCCCGGATCGTTCTGCTCCTGTACCGTGAACACCTCCCACGAATTCTCTACGGTCGAAAGCTCGGGCGTTCAGTCAAGTATTGCTACCCCTGGTATCAGCACTGTTGAGAGCACCACGCGACCGGTTCACAAACTCACCTGCCTCATGTTTTATGAAGCGGGAAATGGTGATCGTACCCCTGAGGAAGTCGCTGCATCCGCATTGCAGAATTTGAAGGTCTATATCTGTGACCAGGTACAGCAGGGTTCTCAAACGTACTCGGACGACCAAGTGGCAGAAATCAAAGGTTTACTTGAAGAGTACGAAAGCCTTGTCTGTGGGTTTGTCAAGGTGGAGACAGATTTGATCGCTGCTGCCCGCGAGTTCCACGGGAGGGTTTCCGCTGTGAGCGAAAGGCTGAAGGCAATCTATGGCGGAGATTGGATCCGGAGAAAACTGATGGGTGAGTATCGCCTTCTTTTCATCTTCACGCTTTGACACGGAAATCTGATATCAACTTCGCAGTGGGCGGGGGCATGGTTGTCATCAACCACTGCATCGACATGCGTACGAGCTTCTCGATGGGGCCAGCTAAAGGCTCATTTGACATCCATCCGGTCGCGATGTTTGCCCGAGCCCTATTTCTGCCTGAAGACGTGACGGAACTCGGCGGGTGATCTCCGCTGAATGATAGCAGTCTTTCGCACATGTACTAGTACTACCCTGTTATGAAACGTTCATTTGTGCAGCCATGCCCTCAGAGAGTTCCCATATGCCCAATATGCGCGATAGACCTAAGAACTGAAGTATATGTACTTAGGTGCGGATGTAAGACCGATAGCACACCGGAAAAATTTCCTGACTTAGCGATGCCTAACCCTTCACCCAGTCGAGCACATTTCAATCAGTACAGTCAGATCGGCATCACCACCCGATACATATGATATGCAAAGGATCTTGAATGCCCCGAGGAAGCTCTCCTCTTTTGGTCATCTCGCTCGTCGCACCGCTGATCCTCCGCAAGTACCTCTTTCCTGCCCTGCCAGTGCTGAGATGGTAGAGGCGAATGTACCTGTACCTGAGTGTCTATATTTTGTGTTACTTGTAGTTTCATGCACGTATCAACGTGATTGAGAGTATACTGTACTGTAGGGTATCGTCCGGCTGGGTTATGCTGCGATACATCCTCAGACCTCGTCGCTTGTGTCCTAAATCCTCCCAGTTGCCATTTTCACCTTGAATTGTATAGAGACGGTCACCGTGATTAAGAAGTTTTTGCAGAATTTCAGATTGCATATCGGCGATGCCTGCACAGTCACATGATGACCAGACGGCTTTCGTGGATCATTCGCCCTCAAACTCGGACCATCACACACTTTTACTTTTACCGGAGATTTTTACCCCACCCCACATCGTGCAGGTGAATCAAATCTTGAACCTTGAACTTGAAGGGGGCTACAGTATGACTATCGAGAGGGTTTTGATATCATTGAGGGGAAAAAGACAGGAAAGCCGATCTTCATCTTTACCGATCTCCATAGAAATAAACAGAGCCTTCCATTTCAATTCGCTTTGGCATGTTAGACTTTAAGCTTCTTCTCCAACAGTCCGCCGTGAATCCAGCCAACACCATCTGGTTTTCAGTACAATATCCTTTTAAGAAGGCTTGGTATCACATCACATCGCCCCCCTCCAAAGGAAGTCCTCTACGAGCCGTCAGAGGTATCATCGATTCGGAGGAGTCGCGTTGAGATTGAAGATTGAGATGCCAGGTCCCGCTTGGGAGTTCGTATATCCAGCAAGTTAGGCCACCACTCTTCGTGGTCCCCAAATGATGTTCGGAGTAAGAGATCGTCTGAGCTAATTGGCGCAGTGTTCCGAGGAGGCGGCGGCGTGCCAAATATTTACCAGTACAGTCGAGATACAACGGCCTGGACACCGTCCTGAGAAGATCGAGTCTCAGTCTGCCGTGCGAGTATAAATCACGCAGTGGTAATGATGATGATATATTACGAGCTGAACCACACCAGTGGCTCGACCGGGGGAGAGGGCGCACGGAAGATTCCCCTTCTCGCGCCTGGATGAGATGGTAGGTTTGTCCCGCGAGCCTGCTCGACGGAAGTCGGTGACGCTCTGTTTCGTTTCTGTACGATTCGTGTCTAGATTCTCTGATACCTGAGGACCCGTGATCGTGGAGGTGTGAGCTGTATCCAGATTCATGAAACACGAACGAGGTTTGCGTTTCAGGTTTATCAAGTAATTCACAAGTCGCACCTCTATGACGTGTCATCTAATTTATTTATTGGTTGTGAGGTCGAGGGGTCGCCAGCGAGTCGCCCTTCGACAAACAAACAACTTCGACAACATATCACCATCCACCATCTCCTCTCGAGATCCAGCGTTCTCAAACGATACCTCTCAGTAGCATACCATATACCATCTCTCGTTCTCACGCTCAAAAAAATGCCTCCCCCAACCGCTACCCTCCGACCGGAACCTGTCCGGGCTGGTGCCAAAAAGGACACCAACAAGGACGCAACCGTAGCCAGCTCGTCCAAGGCTGCTGGTAACGGTAACTCGGACAAGATGGCCAGGCCCGATCAGGCGGCTTATAATGCCGAGCAGGATCAGCTTAATAAAGAGATCGGGGTGTTGAGGGAGGAGATGGTGAGTCGTCTAGTCTCTTTCACGGATTACATATCCAAGTTTTTTCGTCAACGATGAGCTGTGCTGATCTGTCTGACCCTTTCGCTCGTCTTCTCCCTTCATCTTCTTCCTCTCCTCATCTTCGAATCTCGCTTCCACGTCCTCTCTCCATCTTTTCTCTCCATCTCTTTCCTCCCTTTCTCTTCCACGTCTCCTCTCTCTCTTCGATCTCTTCCCCTTCTCTTTCCCTCTCTTTCCCTCTCTTCTCCACTCTCTTCTCTTTCCCCTCTTCTCTCCTCTTCTCCCCTCCCGCCCCGCTCTTCTCTCTCTACCCATAACCTTCCGCCGAGCAGAACGAGATCAAATCCCGGCTAGACCTCTTACACAACCCCAAAAACTCCAACACCACCAAAACCAACGGGGATGCACCGGTATCGACTGATAGGAGGAGCCAGATTAAAGCGGAGATGGATGAGCTTCAGAGGGTTCAGGGGAGCGGGAAGGTCAGTACCGCCGTCTTTGGGCTTTGTTTTGCTGCGCTGGGGTTTCGAGGTTTAGGGGTTTCGAGGTTTCGGGAGTGATAGTCGGATGGTGCTGGGTTGATCATGACTCGCACTAAATAAGCAGGAGTGCTGATATTCCTGTTCTTGTTTTGCCTTTGCTCTTCCATCGCTCTGCTTCTGTTGCGCCTAATTGTCGTCATGTTTCCTTCTCCGTCCTATTTTCCGTTCGGAATGCGATAACGGCTTTCGTGGTGCATCCCGGATCTCCACAATTCCCATCTTCTGGTCCACCGTCTTCGTCACTCATCGATTCGATCTTCTAAAACGTCTACGAATACCACCACCACCACCACAACAACAACAACAATACCCACAGGCGGACAGGAGCAAGACCCTCGACGCCATCAAACGTCATCAAGATTCCATCAACACCAAGTCCAAGGAGATCACCTCCATCCGCCAAAAGCTGCCTTACAAGAACTCGGCGGAGATTCAAGCTAGGATCCAACAACTAGACGGACAGATCGAATCCGGCAAACTCAAGCTTATCGATGAGAAAAAGGCCTTGAACGAGATTTCTACGTTGAAACGATCGAGCAAACAAGTAACTACCCTGGAATCCCTCGAGACCTCGATCGCCGAGGACAAACAACAGATCGAAACCCTCCGACAAGTCCTCGACGACCCTCAAGCCAAAGCCACCCAGGCCAGGTGGGACGCCCTGAAAAAAGAACTGGACGTGTTGAGGGAGGAACAGAAGAAGGCGTATGATGAAAGAGGCGGGTTGTTTGATAGGAGGAACGAATTGAGTAGGAAGATGGATGAGCTTTATGAGCGGAAGAGGGGGTCGAATGCCAAGCATCGGGCTGATAATGATGCGTGAGTGCTGAGTTTCTGGGGGAGGGGCTTGCATACGACATCTGTCCGAGCATGAGCTTATCGTCTACGCATTACGTTTTCGTCCTCGTTCTATTCGACTTGAATCGACGACCACGACGACCTTCGCACAGGTACCGAGCCAAAGTCGACGCCGAACGTAAAGCCAAGAACGACCGGTTCCGGGCCGAACGCGCCGCCGAGGACGCTTCGAGGAGGGACGAACAGATCCAGCGCATGAGGGAAGAGGCGAAAGAGCCCGCGTTTGGGAGGGAGATTGAGGATTGTGGAGTCTTGATCGGGTGGTTCGAGAGGCAGTACGGCTCGGGCGAGTCTCAGCAGCAACAGCAGCAGCAGGGTGGGGTTTTGGGTGCGATCAAGGGGGCGATCGATGGGGTGAGTCGCGAAGACGTCCTCAGCGGTACGAGGTAAGTGAAAGGAACGCGGGTGGCTGATCGTATAATGTTGGTGCGTTTCGTCCAGATCAAATCGCTCGACCTGCGTAAGGTCGAAGAAGCCCAGCCTGAGGGTACGGTGCTCAAGAAGGACCGGGACGATACCGAAGGCTGGGGCGCGTTCGCAGGGACGGGCGGCAAGAAGAAGGGCAAGGGTGGTGGTAACAAGAAGACCCCCGCCGCTGCTCCCGCCGCCTCGAAGGAAGCTGCCGCACCCGCACCTGCAGCACCGGCAACGACCAACAATAACATCTCGTTGCCGTTCTCCACCCTGAACACCCTCCTCGGGTTCGGCATCTCCCCCCCAGCTAACAAGGAGGACGTTCCCCGCGTCATCGAGGATCTGTCGACCAAGAAGTCTTGGTTCGAGGCCAACCAGAAGAGGAAGACCGAGGAAGAGGTCGAGAGGGTGGAAAAGCAGATTAACAAGATGTTGAAAAAGTCTGGTGCGGCTGGTGCTGGTGTCGGAGAAGGGGCTGAGGTGGAGGGGGTTGAGGTGGAGGGCAAGGAGACGGGTGGGGAGCGGGAGCCTAATCATAGTAAGTCCAGTTCACTTTAGGCTTGGTGAAAATCAAAGCGTGGATGGCGAGTAAGAGAGCCGTAACGCTGATACTCGTTTGAACTCTGTTCTTTCACAGCCGTCGCCGTCGTTGGGGATGCCACCAAGGACGTCTCTGTCGAACAGGGCGAGCAGGTGAGTCACTTCGGCCCGAAGGCCACCATATTGCCCTGTGATCGTGTTCGTGAAAGCTGATATCGATTTCGACTACGGCGGTGGTAGCTCCCGGAGACCCCGGAAGAACGGAGTAGCAGCGTCCACCAGATCGACCAGGAGTTGGAGCAGGTCAAGAGCGAGGAGGAGGCATGAGATTGAGTAATGAGCATCCGAAATGGGGGAACAGTGTTGGGATGGGATTGAGCGATGTAGTAGATGGTTTCTTGTTTGGTGGACGTTTATCGAATGCATGATAGTGAGATCGTCGGCCGTGTTTGAACGCGAAAGGGGGTGCTTCTCTCTCGAGATGGGCATCCATCATCAAGCATCGACTCACTGCTACTCACTTTATGTCGCCCTCACCACTTTCCTCCTCTTCAACACGCCTCTACACAATGAAATAGGACCAAATTACAGACATGCTATCTACCACATCCTCGCTCGCTCTGGCCATCGCCATCTATCTACCCATTCAACACGTCCTCCGTCATCGACGAGAACGACAGACGGCCCGCAAGTATGGTCACAAGTCGAGGAAAGATCTGGCCAGGATGACCATGGATGAAGCGGGGGAGATTATGAGGGAGCTTATCGAGCTCGAGATGACGGATGCGTTTAACATCAGTCTGGGGTATGGGTTCTTGCAGGTCCGTACATCCTCTTCTCCCCTCCTCGTTTCAGAGTGATGAGGCAATCGAGGTTCAAAGCAGGCTGATGAACGATTCGACAACTTTTATGCTACATAATCATTGCCATTATCATCGATATCATATATCACAGACCCTGGCTTTCCCAGAATCCTCAGCGTTGTTGGTTCATACCAAACAAATCCACAACCCGCTTCAATCCTCTAAACGTCTCTTTGACACCTCGGTCCTCATGACAGAGATCGTATCCTTCACCCCTTCTTCTCCCCGTTTCCGACAAGCTGTCTCAAGGATCAATTATCTGCACTCACGGTACGGAGATAGGATTACCAACTCCCAGTTGATCTACGTGTTGGGGGTGTTTGCTTGTAACCCCCAGATCTGGGCGGAGAGGTGGGAATGGAGGAGCATGAATGAGCTCGAGGTGGCGGCACTGGGGACGTTTTGGATGGGAGTAGGGAGGATGATGCGGATCGATATGAGGGAGATAAAGGGGTGTGGGAAGGACGATCCGAGGTATTTGGGTAGGGTTTGGTCGTCTTCCTCGACAACATCGGAACCAGAGAACGAGATCAATAACCACGATCAGGACCAGGACCAAGACGAACCTAAAGACGACAACAATAACAACCCTCCAAGCTGGGCGGACGGACTAGACTGGATGATAGACATGCGAGCCTACATGGACCTGCACGAATCGGAATACCTGGGGCGGAGCGAGGACACGGACGCGCTGGTGGAAGAGACCTTCCGGATGATGCTAGATCCGTTGCCTAGGTGGATAAGGGGGTGGGTGAGAAAGGTTGCGGCGGTTGGGTTTGAGGAGAGGTTTAGGAGGGCTTCTGGGTGAGTTTTTTGAGATCTCGGGTTGGGGGTTGGGGTCATGACGAGGAGACGGGTTAAAGGGCTCGGGATGGGGAGATATAGAAAAGAAGAGGGAGAGGGAAGGATTATGCTAATTTATCGGACTTCTACTGCACAATATTGTCGATTCGCAGCGTCCCGACTCCCCCTAGATCCATCGAACGCTTCGTCACCTACTCTCGCCTTTTCACCAAATACTTTAGGCTCTACCTCGGGCTACCCCGGCCTGCCTTCTTGACGCACCGAGCGATCCCTTCCCACCCGGACCCTATCACAAAACGTTACTCACCAGGGGCTTACGAAGCCTATCCATACTACGTCAAACCGACTTTTTGGAAAAGGTATAATCCTGTAGCCCTGTTGAGGTGGGTATCGGGTGGGGATCGACCGGGGGACAAGCCGGAAAAGTATCAGCCTGAGGGGTATAAGATCGAAGAGCTCGGACCGCCTAGGTGGATGGGAAAGGGGTTGGAGTGGATGGAAGCGGATGTCATGAGGGGGATGCAGGTCGTTCCCGATGGTGGGACTTGTCCGTTTGGGTTCGGAGATTGAGGCTGAGTCGGAGAGAAGGGAGGACGGGCCGGAGAGATCGAAAGCGCCGATATATGTAGCGGATCGAAGTTTGGCTCGAGATGTGTATTTCCTTGCGACGTTGACGGATCGTAATTCAGACCCGAACCTGTATTATAGCCTATACCCGCTTGTCTCCTTGTTTGTACGCCCGCTATAACGATGACCAAGAGATGCTACCGGTTCGTTTTGCCTTTGTGTTCGCGCTTCGAGAAAAGATGTGAAGATCGCTCGGGCTAAAACACCGTTCAAGCTTGGTTTTAGATTCTCGAGAGCTGAAACACGCCAATTATACAAGCTACTTCGAACGGGCAAGCTGCTTGCTCGCATGGTGCCGTGCGACGTACTACAGTCAATAGGTGGAAACATTGACCGATCAAGATGACAGACCTGTTGGTGTGTGAAGTTTCATGGAAGGCCCAGAGAGGTCGTATAGGGGCTGATCCTGTTATACGCTTCAGACTACCTAGTCATAGCCGACACGCTTTGATTTGCGAGTTGGATAGTCACAGATGACACCGCTGGAGAATCCGTTTATCAAGCAGCCACGGGCTTGGTGTTCAGAGGTATGGCGTGGGAGATCGTTGTGGTACGTTGTGGCACAGTATTGCTCTTCCGACCTTGAGCATCAACCGAGGCTGATAAGGCTTAGGGTATCCCAAAAGATTGTATGCAAGAAACCGGTTGCAATCTTGAAGCCAATGGGACACATCCTCCTAGATCAGTGACCATCCACTCCCCATAAGCGAACCGTTCTACGTTATTTGGCTACCGATTTCTTTCGTGAGGACGAGATAGAGTATTCGAGTAAGCACCCCTTCCTTGCGGCTTTCCCGAATACGGTCTGTGACTGAATAAAGGATATAACAAGGGAAAGCGAAAGGAGCAAGGTCCTAAGATTGGGAAAGGGGGAATACACCGGGACCGAGGATTTTTAGCTAATCATTTAGCCGCAAGCATAATTCAATCCCTATTGGTATATGAACAACAGTAGATGTGCTACGGCGCCGTGGCTGAGCGAACGGCGTCGAAAGGATGCGAAACGTTGGACCTCCAAGCCAGGCGCGCGCTACGGTTTCATCTTGACGTGATGCGCGGGCGCCGCCACTTGAACACAAACTTCGGGGTTAGCTCACTTCAATATACCTTTGGGTCTCAACTTCCCGAGCTGATCCAGCCACTAAGATGTAACCACGAGGAGACATGTGAATCGTGGTGCGTTGATCCAGCCGGCCTAACCGTATCGGCCCTGATTGCCCGGCATTGTCCCCCGTCCCCATGCCCATCCTCCTGCTCATCATTCTGATGCGCTTACATTACTGTGTAGAAATGGATTGAATGGCCAAATTCACGAGTCCCAATCATCATTTGAGCAATTCTTCGACTCGAAGCAGTCACGTTTGATAGCCGATAGACTACGTTTTATCAATTATGCGGCGAGACTATCAAGCATCGATATCTCCGTCTTCAGCTCATCAATCGACATGTCAGTATATAGCTACATCGTCGACGCCGGCCTCTCGCTATCGTAATCGTCCGACCGATCTTGGTGTTCCTGCTTTTGGCTCTTGACTGAGCTCATAACAGTCGACAGAAAAGAGCGGATTTGACTGTAGTCCCTTTTCGACTTGTACGAGTAGACCAGAATCGCTTCGGCCTGTGCTGTGGTATCACCGTTGTACTCAGCGTATTCTTCGATTCCAGCGAGGAGGGGACCCATTGACGACTGTACGATGACGAAAGGTCACAGTTTGGGGCATCGCTACGATTAATATAGACGAGAGGACTCACTGCATCGTCGTCTTCAAGGAACTTTGTCCAATCACGAATCAAGGCTCTGTCGTCATCGGTCAGGACGATCCACGAAAGGTACATCGGCACCGAATAATCTTCCCAACAGAGGCACAGTCACCCAGCGATACGTCACATAAAGAGTCTTGTATTCATCCCAGTCACCGTCCTGAGGGATAGCTTTCCAGACAGGTAGATCGGTCTCGGCAAACCTCTTCTCCCATTTCAAGTGTCGATAGGCTTCGTCTTTCTCTGGTTGTACTTGGAATTCTTCCTGGGCAAGAGCAAGCTTGAGATGTTCATCTCCAGGCTGGTAGGTTAAATGAGGCAATGAAGTGGACATGGTAAGTGAAAGTGACCTCGAGACAGCCGACAAGGAAAGCTGTCATCCCCTTACAGCGGCTCTTTCCGATAAAGCGTCGTCTATTTGTAGTGGTAGACATGCGAGGCTTCTTCACGATCAGGAATCTGTCGCTCAGAGGTCGGACAAAGGAAGCGCTTGGAAACTTGACCAGATGTATGCTGCGGCCGTCGCATCCTGGAAGGTCAAGCAGCGGTAGCTTCTTCCCTCTGCGAGGTTCTTCGCAACTAAAAACAAAGGATGACGACAAATAAAACAGTACGTCATGGGATATACGAACCCTGAGTACCGAGAAGCATCATGAATCGTTACCGTAATTCAAGCAACAAAAAACCCGACGGATGCTGTATATGGTCGCTTGACTAGCGGAACACGAACGAAGTCACCTCAACAACAATCCGATATCTCGTCCGAGAGTACAATCTCTGCAGTCCTCGGGCCCAGTCGGATGCAACATCGTAACAAAAGACCTGGCAAGATCACAATCCCTGACTTTCAGAAGAAGGGGCACTGGGATTATGCTCTGCCGTGGGCACAGAATTCTTGGCATATTGAATGGTCTCAGCGACCATAGAGTCAACCCGAGAAGGATCAAGGAGCCAAACGGCTGTGATGACGGAACGGACCCGGTCTACCGATGACCCTGTACTCTCGGCGTGCCTGGTCATGGCTTGAAGGACCAAGTCGCCAATCTGTAAGGATAGCGGTGAGCAAAATCCTCGATATCTCAGCATGAGTAATGAAGCCCGAATATCAAACGCTCACGTCAGCCGCCTCGACCAGCTTCTCAAACTCTGCCTTGGCAAATTCCTTGTCGTCGCGGGTGAGGTTGTCAGCGATCCAGGGCGGGAAGTTCAACCCAAAGATCTTGACCAACTTCTCGATCGTCATCCAGGTGTAGTTGGTGTAGGGCTGGTTGTCCTCATCGTGAGCGAAAGGTTGAGGAATAGCCTTCCATTCGGTATGAGGCAATCTCTTCGACTTGACAGTCACCCAGTGGACAGGCCGATAGGGCTTGTTCTCGTTGGCGCGCACTTCAAACTTGGGCTGAGAGAGGACGTCACGCAGATGTTTCTTGCCTGTCTGATAAGTGTATTGTGGGACGGTTGACATGATGGCGTAGATAAGCAAGAGGAAGGTGACTCGAGGTTTGGCTTGCAGTGGTCGAGAGGATTCGTCCTGACAGGGAACTACCGACATATAGCGCTACTTATATGCTGCATCTTCATCAGGTTCTTCACGCTTGCAGGAGAAAGGAGGGCGGCGGCGGCGAACAAGCTGGCGCGGCTGATGTAGGCTGATCTTTTCGAGACTTGAGCTTCTCCAATGTCGGACTACAAAGGGAGTCGAGGTTACGTCGTGCGACGATAGGATTTGGACAGACCGCCAGGCCATCACAACGACTTAGCAAATACTCGAAAACAATGACCACGTACATCAGTCCTATCAAGTCACCATCTCAACCGCTATCAAAGCGATCTCTTTCGGATGACCTGACGAGTAATGTGATCAGTCACCCGACCCACCCTAACTCCCCATATGATCGGCGCCAATGGCGATGGGATGACATCGGACACGACGTCTTATCTGACAGTACAACATCTGCGAAATGTACAACCTGGATCAAGACTCGTCAGCGTGAGAACGGACTCGGACCAGGTTCATCGTGCTTGGCTCTGAGAGGAGATGCTTCTGTTCTCATCTTCGGCAGATTCCACGCGCGAGGCGATGAAAGAGAAGAGGACCTCGCGATGCCTGAGAAGACTTTCGATCACCAGCGACTCGACATCGGAGAGAGGCATCGACACGCTATCAGCGCATTCCCTTAGAGAACGGCCCCACAATTGCGCGATCTGTTCATTTGCGAGAATCGTAAGCTGAGTATGTGGGCGATAGACAAGGTAGATCTGATCAGAAGATACCCACGTTGGTGTTCTGGACCTGGTCTTCGAACGTGGAGCTTGCCAATCTCTTGTCCTCCTCTGAAAGTTCTGACCAGAGCCAGGGAGGGAGTCTGTCCCCAAACAGGCCGACCAACTGGCGGATCGTCACATAGCCATAGTCAGGTCCGAATGCGTTCATAAGGTGCGAAGGGTTGTGCTGGGCTTCCGCTCGGAGATAGGTGTCAGAGCGTCCGTCCTTACGAATCTTCCAGCGGAGTCTCTTGAAACCTTCGTATCCGGGAAGGCGAACTGCGAATTCAAGCTGCCTGAGGGCATCTTTGAGGTGGTTGGTAGTCCTGTCGTAGATAGATCGAGGCAGGTCGGACATTGTAGTTGTAGTCGGATGCTGATATATCGATCGATCCTGTGAGATGAGCGTTATGAGCTTGTAGAGACGGCCGACAGGCGCAGCTTATATACTGGCCCAGGTCTTGGTTCTTGACGGTTGAGGAACAAAGGAGACAATATCTAGCACGACATGACGGATATCGCAACTGTCGCACCTCGCATCGGACGCCTGCGACATCCAGATATCCAGAGAACAAAAAGAGCTTTTAGGTCATTCGACCGGGTCATCTCACACTTGTGAGGTTGCCTTACCACTTTGAGCAAAAAGACGCTGGCATCGAGCGATCGTCCGACTGGACTTTAGAAACAAGCCACGATGCTATGTGTCGCGACACTGACCTTTGGGCATGTTCCACGTTCAATTCGCTGTGGCGTGACGGTCGTTAAGCGCGTGGGATCGTTCGCCTGTTGTGATGTGGGGCGAGAATGATCCGAGTCGTCGAGTCCAGTGGTTCGTTTCGGCGAGTCTTGTAGGGTGAGCTGGAGATGGTTGTCCGACTGTAGACACTAACTTGTTGGTCATCTGGCAACGAACAGACAGAGTTGCCGGTTGTAGTCTCTTCAAGTCCAACCGAATCATGGGTTCTTAGAGTCCTCCTGTATCGTACCAGTAGCAGAAGTCCGCAACGCGCACGCTGGCTTAGGGGTTGCTTCGATTCGTATCGATTCACATGGCTCGTACTGTGTGGTCTATGGCGTGGACGAAAGACCTTTGTATCTGTATCTCTCAATATCATCGCCTTCCACACATACTTGAACCGTCTCCCTTCCCTTTGTTCTGATAAAATTATGCTGCATAGCGGCAAGCCGGAGAATTATGCTACTGTATGGCCCTGTACGACACAATTACCATCGCCACCGGCAAGCTCACCGCAGAGCGAGGCGTAAAATCTTTTTCAAAAGCGCCACAGTTATCATGGTATTGTAAACTCGGCGATCGGATTACTGATCCCTGACACCTACTGACAGCCATTCACCCACCGTCACATTGACTACAGGAAGCTATGTAGATTCTGCAATCTACGATGGATCGAGAAAGGTACTGTGTCCTAAATTCTAAGGTACATCCAGTCTCCACGAGACTCTCGGATGCTACCAGTAATACTAGTATGTACAACGGAAGGCGCGATAAGCGCCACGAGCATATCAGTGCGTAAGCAATCGGCACAAGGAGCTTTTCGAGCGCTACTCTTGAAGCTCGTCGAGTTCTCAGCTAGTGGTATGTGATTGGGTTGTAAGCGAACTCGGTCGATCTGACCATACTACTGTACTCGAGTATATTCCTTTCTACTCTTTTTTAAAAAAGAATCACTTGGATTTGGATTTGAGCTCGGGCTGGGGCTTGGGCTTGAGCGCTGCATGGTGTATGATCGCTCGAGAACGTAAGAACGAACTTTTTATCGAGGCACAAGAAGACCCTTCCGATGAGGCAAAGTTCTCCTACAGCGCGTTTCCGTTGATCGCTTTGATTAGGGAGCGCGAGGTATCAAAGGTTCCAAGTCTCGGAGTTTCGAGAACTGCGGACTGGCCGACGTTCTAAGCGGACGACGTGTACGGCCAACAGAGAGGAGCAGATACACTGCGATCATACTTCGAGCTGGCCAGTTTTTAAATCATAGTCTGTGCTCAGGCTCACGAGATATGAGTACATTATTACTGTAATCAAGGTACGAGGTAGATATTTTGCGTTGATCACGAGCGCGGTTTCAGATGGTCACATGATTCGTCATCGCGTTTCGCGTTTCAACAAACGAGTACTGTACGAGCCTCTGACGAGAGATGTTGTCCCGAGAGGCACCGTACTGAGCCAATTATAAGCGCATGATTTTAGGACTGGTTGTCAGGATCCAGGGGTAAATGTGAGACCATCCTGAGATCCAGAGACTTTGACATCCGCGGTCGAAACGAAAGCCGACTGTACTACTGTCAAGAATTCAAGAACAAGTCGAATCCGATCGCAAAGCTGCGCAGAAACAGAGCGCGTAGTAGATCGCGGACTTGCCCGAAGAGGGTTATCAGAAAGATCAGAGGTTCTCTTTCTGAGCCCGTCCTACGATGAACCCGCTCGGATCTCGGGACGAGAACGAGACGACCCGCTACGCAGACACAGGGTGACTGCACCGAGTCCTCAGGAGATCAGAGGATCGTTAGCTGTCTTGTGTGTATGAGATAGATATTTGACTTGGACGACATCGATCCTGGGATGTCGATGAGTATCTGCTGCTGTGTGTGTGTGTGAATCGTTCATTTCCTCTTTGGGCCAACACACCGCGCGACGCGTCGAACTCCAGGGAGCAAGACGTCATCGACCTTCGACTCTCGAGCTGGGAAAGTCGGCCCGAATCTCACTCGACATCGATAATCATCCATCTTCACAACCACGGACATTCAGACTAGAGCTAGAGCAAGGTCTGTTCAGTACGTTCAGTCTAGTATTCGATATCGGTCAGAGAACCGCCATCGATCATCGAAAACAGGCCGCAAGTCGAAGTCGAAACCTCCCCCGGATTCAACGCGAGATCACAATCACATCACGTCACACTCGCACTCGCCCTTTCTCCTCTTGATAACCATCAACGACAGGCGACGGCGACATCGACTTAGAACTAGACCTGGATCTGGATCACTACCTAGCCTACGCTCGAAGATAGGACCATACGTATTATAGCTTATAGACATACTACAGCTATAGAACGAGTAGTCGATCGGGACTAGCTTACGGAGCAGAGACTATGGCGGACCAAGCAAGAGAACGAGAACGAGATAACGAACCTGCCAGTAACACTACGACTACTTCTACCTCTACGACTCCGACTACCTCTGGCGATATGCCTGAAACTCAACCGCAAGCACAACAACAACAAGAACAACAACTACCCTCGTCGGAAAATCTTGATCACAATCACACCAACCCTCCAAGCGACCCTCCAACCGACCCTTCAGAGAACGAAGCAGACAAAGCAGAACAAGCACACCGAGCAGAACAAGCAGAACAAGCAGAACAAGCGAGGATCAGGGCCAAAGCCAAGGCGGACGAGGCCGTACTACTAGGACCTATCGACCCGGCCGTCCAAGCGAGGTTGGGGGATCACGGGGATCTCTTAGGGACGACTATTAGGAGGACGGTTGTTTATACGCATGCGCATGGGCCGACAGGGGGAGAGGGAGGGGCAAGGGGGTCGGGCGGAGAGGTGGATGTAGAGGGGGCGTTGTTAAGCCCTTCAGGAAGTAGGAGGGAGGATTTGAGGGAGAGCTTGAAGGACGATTATTTGGTACCCGGACGGACGGAGAGTTTCGTCACTGCTATGACTAGGGTGGACGGCAAGGAACGGGATGGGGACGATGGGGATGGGGATGACGATGGGGATGATGAGAAGGACGAGGTCAACGCAGAGGAGAACAAGGAGGTGGTTGAATCCATTGGTGCAGGTGCAGGTGCAGGTGCAGGTGAAATCGGTGAAGCTAGTGCAGGTGTGGTCGGATCTTCGGCGAATACGACTTCTGCCTCTACCTCTCAGCCTACTTCGGCTGTGCCCGCACCCGTACCTCCTCCTACAACGACCACGACCACGACGACCACCACTCCGGGTCCTCCAGCTTCAATTCCAGGACCTTCGTTGCAGTTCGCAACGTCTTCCTCGACCAAACAACAACAGCAACAACAGCAGCAGGCGAAAGAGAAGGAAAAGGAGAAGACGACGATGAGCTTGAAGACGTGGTGGAAAGGGTTCTCCGGGGGCGGTTCTGGCAGTAGCAACAACAACAATAATATTGCTACCACGAGTGGGAATGGTGCGGGGAATGGTCTTGCTAGCACGTCTTCCGGTGGGCACGGTGGGAACCCTACGCCAGGGAGTACCGCAACGACTGCGGGTACATCGACTGGAGCCACCAGAGATACCCCGTCTGATCAGAACACCTCGGGCGGACTGGGGATGAGGCTCCGGAAAGGCAGCGTAGGGTTACAAGGCGAAGGCTTGAATTTGAGGGGCAGGAAATCCAGCGTGGGGGGGGAAGGGTATAATTACCTAGCAGAGACTGTGCCGGAGGGGGACGTCTTTGCTCAGCCGTTGTTGAAGAGCTTGGAGTATGCGAGCGTGCAGATCTCGACGGCGAGACCGGATGGGGGGTTGTATATCTGGGGGTGAGTCGCCGTGGGGTCGAATCCGGGTCGGACAGACGAGACAAGTCGGTCGGGTCAGGATGAAGTTGGCTGATCCGACCCTTTTTTTTTGGTTTTTTTGGTACATTGTAGGTACGTCCCCGTCGTCGTCGCCAAGTGCGGACTCTACTTGAAGGACACGGCCACCGAGGTCCCTGGGACTTTCCGAGTGTCCGGGTCGGCCAAGAGGATGAAAGAGTTGCAGGCCGTCTTTGATAACCCGCCCAAGGTGGGTCGCGGGATTTGAGCTACATCGGTGGTCAGACTCCTTTTTTGATAGCCTTACAGAGCTGACCCATTCGATGTTTTGGCCTATTCTTGCTGCTCGACCTCATAGTACGGCAAAAATTTGGACTGGAAAAAGACGACGTATACGACGCACGACGTGGCGACCATCTTGAGGCGATACTTGACCCAGATGCCAGAGCCGATCGTTCCGCACGAATTGTACCACGAGGTGAGGCGGAGGTGGTCGTGGGTCATCATCGCGGGTTCTCGAGCTGACGTTGTGACCTGATTGCGCCTGGCGATAGTTCCGAAACAACCTGCGTAAGTCGCGGTTTTGTATGATGATCCATTGCGTTCGGCGCCTGACCGACCTCGCTGCTCGACAGTCGCCTGCCGGGAACACACGCCTCCGGGTGAAAACTCGCTCGACGAGACGATCAAGACGTACCAGAACCTGATCGCCAGGATGCCCAAGCCGAACCAGTACCTGCTGCTGTACGTGCTCGACCTGTTGAGCGTGTTTGCGAGGAAATCCGAGGTCAACTTGATGACCGCGCCGAGTGAGTTCGAGGCGAGGCTTTTCTGCTTGGCCCGAGCGCTGAATGACGTTGTAACCTCACGCGTCGACACAGACCTGGCGGTCATCTTCCAACCTGGAATCATCTCGCACACCGAACACCAGATGAGACCGGCCGAGCATACGCTCAGTCAAGCGGTGCTCGAGTTCTTGATCGAACATCAGGATCACTTTTTGCTGGGCATGCAGTTGGTGAGTCGCACGAAGCTAAGGGGTTTCGTCTCTGGGTACAAAGCTGACGTCTGACTGTGCGTGCAGGAACCCATCGCCTCGCGCAGCTCTGACGCGGCGGCGTCGAGCTCGGACGTCTTTCATCCTGCGACGTCGGTCTTGACCTCGCAAAGCACTCGAGATGAGGCCGAGCAGAACGTCGCTCCAGCCACGGCGACCCCGGCCGTCGTCGTGGAAGAACCAGCGACGACCGACAAGCAGCCCGTCGAACGGATCACCAGCCGCGAGCCGACCAAGGCACCTACCTCGCCCGCTCCACCTCGACCTCCTGCACCTGTACGGGCCGATACAGACCTGATGATCCCCTCAGACTCGGACGATGAAGCGCCGGTTGGGGGCTACTACATCAAGACGGAAGACCCTACGCGTCTTCAAGCAAGCATCGGACCGAACGGCGTCATCAACCGGAGCAGGACGGTCATGGACCGCAAGAGCCCGCGTGCGATCCCGATCGTGCAAGAGTATCACTCGGAACGATCTTCGGTCGAGCTCGAGCGTACCAAATCTGGAGCCGGCTCGCCAGCGAAACCTCGAACGGGAGGCGGACTACGAGCTGCCTTGTCAGTCAGGCGAACGTCGAGGACTTCCCGAGTGGTCTCGTCAAACGATACCAAGCCGCCGGCGAGCGCTCGGGAAGCTCAAACTCAAACTCCACCGGGCGTGATCATCATCGACAATCCACCCTTCCACGGCGGGCTCGAGGGCACGCCTTCGGGCAGTCGGCTTTTCCGTCGACGGACCGCACCGACACGTCGTCATCGGAACAAGGACGAGGAGGAGGTCATCAGGAAACAGGCCGAGGAGGCGGTCAGAAAGGTGGGAACAGGGACGGACAAGTCGTCGTCATCGCGGAAACAGGGGCCGGCCGAGGTGTAGTGGGGGGAGGAGAGGGTCTTTTGTCGAGGCGTTTTTTGTAGGGCGGATGTCGTGTTTCTTCTTATATCACCATAGAGATTCCGTTCTTTTTTTTGCGATTGTTTCCTACCATCTCTCGACTCTCGATGACTTTACGGTGTGGATGATGTTTGGATGTTCGCCCCGGGTCAAGATCGTCCGATGTCCGCTTCCCCTGCACCGCCCCCCGGCCCTTCACTCGTCGTCCTCGTCATCTCGATCATCTCGATCATTTCCCTAACATTCATCGATCTCATCATACATCATTCACAGATACATACACAGACACATACAGACGGAATAGATCATCACGAAATCCTTCTTACGATCGTCGTGGCCCGGCCCGATTCTACGCATCACCGAAGGTGTAAAAGGCGCACAGGTCAACGACATGGAGCCACCGCATCATCAAACCTCCCGCCTGATTCCCCTTCCTCAACACTCGGAAAGGGTGGATGAGCTCTACTCCCAGATCATCGTCGACCGCCTAGAACAATCTGTCAGAATTGGAGCTTGTGAAACCGACCTGCGGGATGACATCAAGAGACGCCTTTCGAAACTGTTGGTCAAGGTCCCGTCATGAACGATGCAGCAAGTTTTGAATCCCATCACATCCCGTGCGTGGATCGCTGAGCTCCAGAAGGAGACAAGCTTGCAAGTACTGCAACTCGACAAATCGTATCATCAGGACACGGGTGTGGTGAAGCGGTACCGAACCGGAAGCTAAGCGTGGGAGGTAGCTACGGACATGGAAAACCTCACCCCGATGTCCGGGCGCGCGCGTCCTCCTCGTCTCTCAGGGTCATCGATGATGATGGTGATGATGTACGTTGCGCTCGTTGTTGATACATACTCATAACCATAACACCACCCTCTGATCCCCCTCCTAGCTCCTAACGACCTTCCTGATTGTACTACTTGCTCGTATCTACTACATCATCTCTTCCATCTGTTACACGCCCCTTGCCACACACGACCATCAATTTCTCGCACACAACCAATAACGACAACAACAACGACAACAATAACAACGACGACCGTTCGGGTGGGGTTCTCAGCGGGAGCAGCATCACACATCACAAATCTTCCTTTGTAAGTCGTCGTCGTCGTCGACATACTCTCTGCCGATACCACTTGCCATGATTCCTTGTCGACTGATCATCGTCGCGTCCCCCTCCTCGCAAGCAGTCAACCGAACGTCGATCATCATCCCCAATCACCTCGAACCCAAACCTGACCTATGTCGGAACCGGGGAAAGAGCCCGAAGGCAACCCGGAGCGCAAAGAGGAGGACGACTCTGTTATGGATACGGGAAACCTAACAGGCGAAGACGAGATGTCCGATGGGAGTGAGGACGAAGATCTCTCTTATCTCAGCAAAGATCCGCCCCCCATCTCGGGTGCAGCAGAGGTACGTCGGATGTATCGTGTCTCTCTCTCGCTCTCTCTCTCTCTCGCTCTCGTTTTCCCTCTGTCTCTCTTTCTCGTACCCCGTCTTGCAAATGGTCGGACTAGACCGCTAAAGCGTCTTTCCTGCCTTGTCATCTCTGGCTTCTGATCACGAGAACAGCCTGGTTTTAGGTTTACACCTGCGGGTCTGCACGCCAAACGTTTCAAGATCGTTTCCAAACCCGCGGTGGACGGCGATTTCGAACAGGACAAGGGCGCCAATCAGTTCACGCTGGAAGCTATCGGACAAAACTATCCTTTCCTCTCTAAACGATACGGTCGGACCATCATGATCGGTCTACCCGACCCCAAGCTCGAACGTAGAGTACCAGTCACGCCCGGTGTCCGCCTGGCGGCCTTTGGCCTGAACGAGACCCCGATGAAGGGTGAGGGGAACAACGCACAACAACGACATACCGAACGTTATTACAAAGCCAGGGATCTCGAGGCCGAACTGTTGGACGAATCTCTCAAACGCTTCGATACTCGTTTCGTCGATCTCGTCTGCGAACCAGAGGAAGCTCCCGATCTCTTCGACGCTATCAAAGAGACCGCCCAGACCTGTCGGAACGGAATGTGCAAGGATCTGGAGAGGTTCTTGTCAGTCTATCGCCGGCCCGTACCTAAGCCAACGGGAGAGGGTAAAAAGAGGCGAGCCGGGAAGGACCAAGGGTCGACATCAGCGGGAACAGCCACGAAGAAACTCAAGCCGATCAGTGCCAAGAAGCCGCACGAGGATACCGTGTCGAGTCTCTTGATCAAGGCGCTCAACGCGATGGGAGCAGAGTTTCTGAAATCGTTGGAAGCCAGGACGACGGGCGTGGACCAGCCGAACGAACCCTCGGCAGCCCAAGACGTCGACTCTACGTTGGCGTTCGCTGGTTCTGGGACCGTACCGATTCGCATCAGTGCATCGGTTCCGAGGGATGCGGTCGATAGGCTCAAGGTCTATAAACCCGACTTTTTCGGCTGCATCTCACCCGGGGTCAAGGAGAAGAAGGAGGGCAGTCCTGTCGTCTCTGGGGTCAAGCGCAAGGGTAAGCCGGATCGACGTTTGGTGTGCGTCGCCCGAGTGATACACCGCTGAGCTTGATACATGACCATACCTGGTCGTCTGACGACTAGTAGCAGCTACCAAAGGTTCCGACCCGATATTCCAGTCCGACAATATCGGGGTGTTGGTAGAGGTCAGGAAAGATCCGACTTGTGATTTCAAGGCACACGGGGATCCGAAAGACGCCATCATCGGGAGGGCGATCCGATTTGCGGCAAGTCTGACCGTGTCCTATCCTCTCGTGTCGCAATCCCAGAGCTTCCTTCGCTAGAGTGATACTGAGACGAGCATCCATGTACCTCTCGCCGCCGCGGGTCAACAGGAGATTTCTAGCTACAATCATAGCATAGCCAATCGCGTTACCACCATGACGGTTACCGGTACCCTCGTCAGGCTCTACTTTGCGGATTCCTTCTCATGGGCAACCAGCCGTGTATGGGACCTCGCCAACGAGGAACACCTTGGCGAGATTGTCAAGATCGTAGCGTTCTTCATGGGAGCGCCCGATCAGGCACTGCAGCAGTGGAAGCCCGATCCCCACTCGTTCTCCACACGAGGTTTGGGACCCGAGACGGATCGATCCTCCGTACGACGCTGGGAATGGGTCGCCGGATATCGACAAGAGTATACCCTGAGATCCATCTTTGGCAGACGGTCCACTATATGGTCTGGTGAGACTCGGCTCTCGGGCGTCGGAGGCGAACAGGCCGAGGCCGCGACAGAGGAGAAGACTACGATCGTCAAAGCCGCCTATCTGCCGAGCGGACTTGTGCATCACGAATACAACATGGTGACTTGCCTGCATCCCGAGTCGCCTCGGAGCGACAGCTTGTTCTACCAGATCGACGAGGCGACGCGAGCGGCGATCTTGAAAGACATCCCGGTCCCACTCGGAATGGTCGATGTCGGCCAAGGTGAACACCAGCAGACGAGACGCCTACCGAAAGAAGCAGGACTGACCGTCGGTGAAGCGCCAAGCGACCTCGTTGAACCCCTTACGCACCTTGAGCTTGCCGTATTCGCGATGCACGGACCCGTCGGGGAAACGGTCGACCCCCGCCCCGAGCAAACGTTCAGTCTGCTCGAGGTTTGCGAAATCCATCTCGACGCCCTCGGCCACGGGTACTACGCCGCCACTTGCAACATCCACTTTCGTGACTGGAGCGAGGGCAACGTCCTATTCCGTCGACTTCGGGACGGCACTCTGCGAGGCTTCCTTATCGACTACGGCAACGCTCGCCACGAAAACAAGAGGCGTGATCAGTCTCGCAACGACGGTGCCCTGTCCGGGTGGCAGTCTCTCTGCCTGGACGACATGCGTTCCGGAACGGCTTGGTTTCGATGTCTTGCCGTTATCGACACGGCGTCGCTGATCCGAGAGTACACCAAGAAGCAAAAGAAGCGAAACCGTTTCCCCAAGACCGCCCAAGGGAACCCCGAGTTCGAGGAAATGGAAGCGGCGGAATTGGAAGATTTAAAGTTGCAAATGTTACGGGCTCGACATCGCTACATCGATGATCTCGAGTCGTTCATGTACCTGCTGATATTTCAAGTGAGTCCGGTTCCTACGATGTGCGCGCGGTATCGATCTTCATGTGACGTTCGGGCGTGACTTTCTGTAGGCGTGTAAGGCGACGCACAATGACAAACGCACAAACGACGCCGTCATCGAAATGTTGGAATCCGATACCGAAAAGAAGTCGGCGTGGAAAGCCGATCTCACCGAGGTATGTGTCTCTTGCGCCAGGCTGATGCGCCTGGCGAGATTTTTTTAGGGGTTACACGTCGCTGATCGATCGCTCAATTAGATCGCAGAAACCATCTCCCCAGACGAGGATTGGGTCGAAATGGTCGAAACTTTCGTGAAGACCATAAAGGTTGCTCGCATGGCAATGAAGGATCAGCTGGAAAAGGAAGACATGACCGGAAAGTTCACGCCAGAAGAAGATCGTTGCTACAAGATGTGTTACGATCTCCTTCGCGAGTTTGTCGAAAAACGTCGGCGTCAGGAGGGCAGCAGCAGCAAGAATTGAAATACGGGGGCTGAGTACTCGAGGCGTCGATAGTGGGTATGCTAGGGTTTGACCGAGGCATCGGACTGAATCGCGAAACGCGCGTGGGTCTCGTCTTGCGATCGTCGGTAGTTCTGTGTCTTCTTTGTAGCTACGACGCCGAGTTTGTCGTCGTCCACGTTCCGGTAATGATGTCACAAGCTTGATGATATGTTCCCATGAAGGTCCGCACCAACGAGCACAATCACCAAAGCCGCGCTCTCTTACAACCTGTCATCCGCCAGTAACATTTCGATGATCGCTGCCTGCACATGCCCCTCGAGCTCGAGTGCCTGCACACCCGTGACTTTTGCCGGAAGAGTTGCCGCGTTGACCGCCGTCCACAAGTTGCTCTTGCTCTCGTATTCGATTTGCGCTCCTGCACTTAGGTTGTAGATTATGGGATATGGTGAGATCGGTCTACGTATCGGATTGGGACCGAGATGCAGCTCGAAGGTTCCCGTCGAGCTCGGAGACAGGTTGATCAGTAGGCCGTTACCTTCGGCTCCCGTGCGAGTGTTTGAACGATCCTGCTCGGCGATCGTGCCTGTATGACCGAGGAGGCGGACTCGCCAAGTCCTAGGGGTGTTGGAACCGTCCATAATGACGAGCCGTTCTTCAGCCTGATGGTATTCGATGGTCGTCGTTTGAGCGACGACTTTATCCACAGTCTTTCCGTTCCCATCATCCTCGTGCATGATAAATCGACCGTTTGCACCGACAACGACGAGGACCTCGAACGTGTCCGGGTTGTCGCTTCCGTTTCCCAACTGCTCGGCGCCGTCGAGTGGTACGATGGAACCCGGACGGGCAAAGACTGGGGTACGTCTCTAGCGTCCGATGTAGGAGCATCTCCCGGCCGCCATTGTAAGTTGCGCCGGATTCGATGTCGATCCAGTCGCCCGGTGGGAGCCATGCCCGGACCTGACTGCAACCCAAAGCATAGTCCGTACGAGCGCTGATGGGAATCATCAGCAATTCGCTACCGAAAAAGAACTGCCGCTTGTACTCGTAGGACCCGGCCACACACGGGGTTTCCCTGGGGTGTTCGTAGTAGACTGGTCTGACGAGCGGACCCGCCTCGGTCGCTGCCACATAGTTCATCGTGTAGAGGTAGGGGATCAGACGGTGTCTCAACTGTAGCGATCGAGTGACCGCAGCGCAGGTCTGGGGATTGAAAGTCCACGGCTCCTTGGTATTGAAGATGTTTTCGTTCGAATGCAAGCGCAGGATCGGGCTCCACACCCCGAGCTGGACCCATCGAGCGTACAACTCGTTGTCTTTGGCACCAAAGGCGTGTCCGCTGTGGAGGAACCACGTCAATCGAGCATTCAGCCTCTCTTGGCTCGGCTCGAATTGCGCTCGGAACCGACTCACCCGACGTCGTGACTCCAGAGCCCATAGCCAATGTTGGAAGCCGTGGCCGTGAATTCGGACTGGAAATCCAGCGACGCACGGCTCATGACTGTATCGCCCGACAACCCGATGGGATATCGATGACTTCCCGGTCCGGCAAACCGAGAAAAAGTGATCCGTCGCTTGTCATCGAGGCCGGAATCCATGTAATGGTAGTGGTTCAATGCCCACATCTTGCAATTGTTCTCGGTGTCTACACCCTGCCTCTCGAGCTTGCGATGAAGCACGTCGAAATACGCATCCATGAACGCCTTGTCCGAAACATCGAATACGATGGGATCCTCTTGCTCCGGCGATCTACCCAGCACACGGCACATTTCCCCGTACTGCTCCTCGAATGCACGCACGCCATGAGCGGGGTGCAAATTGAGGGTCGATCGGAGGTTTCGCCGCTTCAGTTCGGTCAGAAAGGCGACTGGGTCGGGAAACAAGTCTTTGTACCATGTATAGCCTGCGGTTGGGTCGGCGTCGCAGTCGGTCAGCGACCCGAGCCCTTTTCCGAGTGGAGTCGAATGCACCGGCAGCTCACCGGTCCAACCATTGCCGAACTTTGGATCGGCTCCATCGACCAGATGCCAATCCATATCGATCACGCTGACAGCCAAGGGGATCCCGTGATCGCGAAACTTGTCCATCAGAGCGAGGTATTCTGCCTGATCATACTGTATGACGGGCCACGTGCGATCAGCTCGACCGCTCGACTCCTAATGGTATAATGTCGCGTCCTACTCCCTTTTTACTAGCAGTTCGGTCCCCACCTCGCGCGCGAACCCCCCTCAACTTCCTACCTCCATTGCCAACCCGCGAACCCCAGTTCGCTCGCCACTCGCGAACCGAACTCTCGCGAACTGACTGTTTTGTCCGAACTCTGCGAACTTCCTACCAAGCCCTCATCGACCCTCCGGCGCATGGCTAGATCCTTCCCCTGCCATCTCACCTAACAACACCCCCTCCGACGCTGGGTTCTGCCCTGTCGCTTCATACCCCCCGCCGCTCGCCCAGCTCATTTATCACGAACCCCTTCGCCGCATCGTCTCCTGCACTCATACCAACCCCACCGCCGTTGGGTCTTCCCTCCCACTTCTCCCACCAACGTTCACGGTACGTACTCTCCTTCCGCCATCGGCTGCACCTCCCTCACTAGAGACCATGGACCTCGCACCCGGCGCATCTGCCCCCCACTCCCCACTCCTCCGCCGATGCCTATATGGCCTACCAATCTCGACGTATACCCATCCATATTCCCATCGCCATCACGACGTCACTACTAACCGAACACACCCACTGCTTTCCCTGGCTCGCACCCTTCATGTTATTCCCATATCGACCCACCCCCGCAGGGTTGCCCGACGATTCGCACTTCATTTCGCAATTGTGTTATATCCACATCAACCCACCTCTGTAGGGTTGTCTGACGGTTCGCACTTCATCTTGTTAGCCCACGACTCACCAGGTCCTAACTCGGTCTCCTCTCACTCCTACTGCATTGCCCCTTGCGCAAAGCACACATTCACCCTGACAGACGAAGGGGCTTATGATGGAGACGAGGCCATCAGGCCGTCTCATTTTGAGAAATTGGTAAGCTGACATTCACACCAAGTCCAGCTGGCCACATCGATGTCGAGCTGGCTAAAGGGTTCTCGGCCGAGCACCAATGATGTCAAGCTATCACGTCTTCATCAACGGCCGTATGACGAAGAGATAAGGCCGAGCTGGCCGAAGTCTTATTGGGCAAGCACCAATGATGTCAAGCTATCACGTCTCCATCAACGGCCGAACGACGAAGAGAAGGTCAAATAGAAGCTGGTGCACGGGGTCAATCTTCATCAGACAACCAAGTGCAGCACGAAGCACTCTCATGGTCTGCCTGATGATTGCCTCTTGGCAGACAACCAAGTGCAGCACGAAGCACTCTCATGGCCCGCTGCTTGCCTCCTGGCAGACCAACAAGATGTGCATGGTCTCGGCAGCGCGCCCCTTACAAAATCAATCGAAAAGGTCATTCTTCTACCTCATCAGGGTCAGACCCCTGTTACATGACGGTTTGGCACCAAGACAATTGCAAAGACTGGTCCAGCAAACAGACAATGCTGTATCCCATCGCCATCCCCTCTCTCCCAATCTCTCGCTAGCAATGCCTGGTAAAACCAGTTCTCTGGCCAGTCTCCAGGGTCAGGCCCGTCAACACCCCTCTCACGACCCGCCACCAAATCAAGAAGGCGAAGTTCAAGGCAGACCAATATGAAGCTCAAGGCAGAGAAATCCGATCCTCACGGCAGACAAACGTGAAACCCTCGGCATCGAGGAGAAACCATTAGGAAACTGGAGACTGAATTAGGGCAGTTCAACTGGGAGCGGGTGCACGCCATCCGAGTTATGGCAAGCGACAAGCAAGTCGTTGTCAAGGCCCTTTTCGTCTTAAACGCACCATTCCAGGCACACATTGCAGGGAACAAGAAAGGAAACACGAGCCAGTCGAGGGCATGATCCTTCTTCCTTGTAGCGTTTGCAGTCTCTCACCTCTTTCCCAGGTGATCCCCTGCTTTTCAAACTCTAGTAGAGCGGGGTTCGGATCCCGCCACATAGGACATTCAGCGTCAAGGATGGAAAGTGTTTCCAGAAGAGGACACCGCACCAACAGTCGACCTGACGCCTGTGCTCGATAGCAGTATTTGGAACCTGCAGGACCCAACGCTTTCAGCTAGGAAGTCCAACACCCATACTCCATTCTTACTGTCACTCCTGTAACCCGCCCCGACCTGCAGACAAGGAAACACTTCTGCCGCACTGTTGTATTCGGCCTCACCACCCAGTCATTCTTCTCCGTCTCCACAACATCTCCTAGAGGTTTGCCTTCGTTTCACAACTAGTTGGCATGCACTCAGGCAACCAGCCATCTCGCACCAAACGCCCGTTACTCGAAAGCTATATCATGAACATAAGGCCGACCGCAACGCTAACGCACATACACCACAACTAACTATCGCCGTATCAACCCCACCGCCGCTACACATCGTTCCTCCTCCGTCGAGGATGCGTCGCTCGACTCTCCTGCTCTATCTTGACCCTCAGCAGAACACTGTATAAATTTTTTATCGCGTCGACAGCGGACGCACGTTGAAACCCTACTTCGTCAACCCTTCTCAAAAACCTAATTGCTTGGTGCTAGGCGGACGAATTTGAGCTCAGTTCACCACCCTCCGACTCAGCCACCCGGCCATACTCACCAAGTGACCAACGATCTTCTCCGGACGGGCAGGTTCCGGATCAGCGCTGACCCCGGGAATGAAACACCCAGGCTCTTCCAGCGCACCCTTCACAGAACATTTGTAAATGTTCTTGGCGCGACAACCGGCGCAAACGCCCGCCCTTCCCTTGATGTACTTAGACACGCAGGCGAAGCAATCGTCGTCCTCCTCGCATTGTTTACACCGTTCCATGTTCAACCCAGCATAGTCGTTGGTCAGGATGTTGTACGCGGCGTTATAGTGGGAGAGCTATCACACAATTTTATCAGCTCCGACGCATCGATCGACCCGTTCGCCAACCACCCACCGAGTTGGCCCTTTCCTCCACCGTCTTCCCCTTGAGCTTAGGGGTTAGGGTAGGGTTAGGGGTTAGGGGTTAGGGGTTAGGGGT